GTTTCTAGGGTTTATATCTGGGGATACTTTGGGAGTTTTCTTTGATGTTTTTATTGAGTCTTCAACTCATGATTTAAAGAGAGTACATCAAAGGTTTGTTTGTTATACACAAAAGAGAGTGTTATTCTTCAGTTGTGGATTCTGAAGAATTCGTGCCTGAAGCTTTGGTGGAATCCGGAGTGGCTCATCAGAAAGACAATTCTGTGGTGAAGATGGGGTTGGAAGAGGCACATAGAGGTTGGTTCAATTAGGCGTTGTGGATTCGCTAGGTAATTGAGAGTATACCTGTGTAATTCCTTTAAATCTTCTTAGTGGATTGTTCTTGTGGCTGTTGCCCGTGGTTTTTTGATCACAGTTGGAGGTGTCCAATTGTGGTTTTTTCCACGTTAAATCGTTGTGTCTCTTTGTCTTGATTGTTTGATTGGGATTGTTTTATTCTGCTTAAATTTGATACATAATCACAAATCAACATCTAGGGGATTTCTAGATTTTTCATGGTTGCTAGAAAAACTTTCACTAATTATCATTATCAGAGAAGTGTAGATAATCAAATGGTTGTCACTATTACTGCCAGAATATTATCGCAAAAGGGTTTCTAAGATTTTGAGGGTGGGTAGGTTTTAAAAGTGGGATTTGGAAAAGATGTATGGGTGGTGATGGAGGTGGATGCTCTCATAAACCCTAATTCATGATGTAGTAGATATGCAGGTTTAATTGTAAGATGAGGTGTTCCAAAATTAATGATTTCCTTTGTAGTAATTTTATTTGAGGTTATTATTGTAATAAAAAAATATAAAAATTGGGAGGTCCAAAATAATTTATGAGGTGCTAACAGCAGCACTCTAAATATAAGATATTAATCTTTTATTTTCCTCTTTAATGGATATTAAATTATATAAATTCTCTTAACTATTATTTAAATTTGGAATGCTAACAAAATTCAATAATAAAATAAATATCACTTTTGGGTAAATTACACTAACACTCAACGAGGTCTCCATTTAATACAGATTCTCCCCTCACACTTGAAAAATTATATTCCCCTCATCGACATTTGTAATCTCATTACAAATTGCCCTTGAATTGCTGATGTCATATTTTAAATTTTTCTAAATGACCATCTGGTCATTTTTTTCAACCATTTATTTTTTCTATCATCATGACTATATTTTACAACTTTTCATCATTAAATTTTACCTGAACATATTTTTATTGAGCGATAATACACAAATATAAATTTTATACAGAATTTTCAAACACAATTATATAATTTAATAGTGACATTTCACTTTAAAACAAAACACCCATAAATATGATTTATATTCCTAACAATATCACTATCACAATATTTATGATATTTTTTGTATAATTTTTTATATATGAATATAATTTTTCATTTTTATTTCCACCATTATATCTAGATTATATCAATTTAATCTAGATATATTTAAAAAGTATAAAATTTGTACAAAAAACTTTTAAAACATTCATTGAATACAACAAAATGAGATAATGTATTGAATTTTTGTATTTTTTGTATTTGGTGAATTTAAAAAAAAAATCACAAAATATTATTCTTCTTAAGTATATATAAAGTATATATAGATTAGGTGTATCTAAAAAATAAAAAAATTACTTAAAATATTTTAAACAATCAGTAAAAATAAAAAACACAAAAAAAAACTCATTTTTTTGTGTGAATTAAATTAAAGAAGATGATTGTTATTTATCTTGAAATTACATGAATAAAATATCTTCATTGTTTTATTATTTTATATGTATAAAAGTTAAGAGATAAATATATTATTTTAATTTGATAGAGGGTAAATATAATTTTTCAAATATGAAAAAAGAATCTACATTAAATAAAAATCTCAAGGGGTGTTAGTATAATTTACCCATGATCGATCTCTTTAGCAAACGTTTTAACTTAAGCTATAAAAAGAAATATATGTCCTTTTTTATGTTTTTTTTTTTAAACATAAATTTTCAACTTTATTTTATAACTAAAATAATTGAAAATTATAATTAATATTCTATAAATGGCTGGACTAAGTTAAAACTTATAATACGAAATTGAGTCCGAATATTAAATGAGTACAAAATCTTAAGGAAAAATTAGTGAAGTATTTTTTTCTAACTTTGTGTAGTAGGAGAGGCCAAAGATATATATTTTTTTTATTAGCTAAGATTTCTCGATGAAATTTCTCTGTAATCATATTAGAGAAATTTTAAAATTTCTCTGTGAAAATTGAAATTTCTTTGTATTAGGACTGAAATTTCTTTGAGTTAGGTATAACTCGCTCTAAGTTAATTTTTTTTATGAAAATATTGAGGGATCTCAATTATTATAAAAATATTATATGTTATTTATTTATAAAATTTTAATATTAAAAATCTTAAAAAAAATTCTCAAATCTTAATCCTAACCCAACCCAACCCACTATATATATATATATATTTTTTTTTTTTTTAGATTCTAAAAAATCAGACTAGATTAGATTAGACGGATTAGATAAGCCAAACAGTCCACTTCTACCCCTAATTCCATGCGATTGGGAGTCACAATCAGATCTCTGGTGAAAATATTATTTTAGGGCTGGTTTAGGATCTACTAAAAAAATAAAAAATCAAAAAATTATTTAAAAAATTCAAAAATTATCACTATTCATAAAAAAAAAAAAAATTTTTCACACATCAATTCACACAGCCGAACAACTCATCATCTTCACCCGTGAAGCTCTGTGCTGTGTTTGAAAGGAAAAATTGCACAGTTTGGTATAATTTTTACACACTGCTGTTTGGCCCATGGGGGCCATCACAGGTCCCGTTTTGATAATCTGAACCGTTCAATGTGTAGAACTCGTCGAACACTATATGTCTGTAAAAAATTACATTGATCGGATATCAATAATTATATGATCAAAGAATGGTGATATAATTAACGATTGAAAAAAAAACACATCTGATCAGATAACTATCAATATCCGACAAAGCGATTTTTTATGGACATATATTACTTGACGAGTTCTACACATTGAACGGTTTAGATTATCAAAATGAGACCCGTGATGGCCCCACGGGCCGAACAAAAACGTTCAGTGCAATGCCTGAATATTAGTCAATAATTTCTTACCATCAATTCCTACCAAGATTGTACGGCTGCTGACTTTTCATTAGTAATCTTCTCCTAAACACTTTTTTATACAATTTTTTAATACACATTTTTTCATAAAAAGTCAAAAAGTTAACTCAAACATTCATATTTTTTTTCTCAACTTTTTAATCCAAAAAGACAAAAAATACACTTATTTAGGACATCTCAAACAACCATCATTTTACAAAATAATAAAGTCATCTTTATAAAATTTGTTTTTTTTAAACGTAAAAGTCATCTTTATAAAATTTGTTTTTTTTAAATGTAAATTAATAAATTTTGCCTCTGTTTGGCAAGATGGTTTTCAGGCTTTTTTGGCTATTTTAGCCACAAAAAACAAAATAGGCTATTTTAGCCATAACAAACAAAACATCACATCCAACCTATAATCATTACATTCTTCTCTCACAAAAAAAGTCAAAAAAGCCAAAAAGCCAAAAAGCCCTTCCCAAACCAAGCTTTTTAGCCCAGACTAAAATAGTCAAAAAAGCCAAAAAACCAAAAAGCCAACCTACTTCCCAAACCAAGCCTTTGTAATATCTAATGTACAGATAAATACAATTTATATCACTAATATTTTTTAGCATTAAACGTCATTGTATTCGTAATTACACACAATTTAATATGTCAACTAAACATAACCCGAGTGCAATTACTAAAAAATAATTTACTTCATTGTATTCGTAATTCCACACAATATAATATGTCAATTAAACATGACTGAGTGCAATCACACTCAAATAATTTGGTAAGTGCGTTATTTTGATAATGTAAAAAATAATTTTGTGCCAAAGGGCTCTCTCTCTCTCTCTCCGTACATTTACGCCTCTGCCATCTCTCTCTCTCTCCCTTCGTTTGATATGTAAAGTTTGAGAGTTTTTTTTTTTTAGTGATTTTAATTAAAAAGTCATAAAATTATTAAAAAAATTAGGACAAATTATATATACCCCTCGAGATTTAACTAAATTATAAATACTCCTTTGAAGTTTGAGAAATTACAAATTCTTCCCTAAATGTTATATTTGCATAACAAATTAGGAGGTAATTTGTTATGAAATTTAAATTTCAGGAAGCAAATTGTTATGAAAATACAAACCTTAAGGGGCGGGATATAATTTCTATGTAATTTAGCCGAACCTCAAGGGAGGTATATGTAATTTGTCCAAAAAATTAAAAAGTCAATAATCTATATCAAAAAATAAAAAATTCTTTTTTTTCTATACTTTTTATACATCTTTTCGTCAAAAATTTAAAAGTTATCCCAAACATAATACTAGTTTTTTTACATCATATTTTAGCAAAAAAATCAAAAAATTACTAAAAAAATATATTCCCAAACGAGGCCTAATTATAAAAAGATAAAATAAATTAAAAAATTAATAAAATAAAATATCACATTTAAATTATAATCATTTTATTTTTTTCTCACAAAAATTAAAAAAATAAAAAAATATTTCAAAAGAGATCTCGTTTAGAAACAGACTATTTTAGGCTAGGTTTGACATGAATGTTTGGGTTGAGTTTGGACTATTTTAACCACAAAAAGATAAAATAGACTTTTTAATTCAATAAGACAAAATGTTACATCCAAACCATAATCATTTTATTTTTTTTTCTCACAAAAGTAAAAAAAATAAAAAAAAAATCCATTCCAAACTAGACTTTTTAGTCCAAACTAAAATAGTCAAAAAAAAAAAAAAAAAAAAAATAATAACTTTTTAACTTTTAAAAAAAAATATATAAAAAAATAAAAAAATAATTTATAACAACTTTTTAATTAAAATATCTAAATATAATTCACAAACAAACCTAATATAACCAAAACCAACACCCTGGTATATATCTATCTATCTATAAATCAATATTTATCAGTATTTCATTCTTTCGAGCTACTCAAAGGTGCTTCAATTCTCCTAGATCTGACAACAATTTTACCAACATTGGATCACTCATTTGATCTATAATTTTTGCTTCTATTCCCAGATTCGACCATGGATTTCATGAAGGTCATCGATCAAACTGTCCGCGAAATGTGAGCCTAATAATCTTCTTCCCCTCTCTTTTCACTATTGTTTCCTCTCGATTTCACTAAGTCTCTATGTTGTGGTCACAGAAAGAGGGAGGTGAATTTGAAAGTCTTGAAGGTTCCTGAGATCGAACAGAAGGTAAAAGATTTCACTGTCAGTTTAATTTTCAACTTGTCTATGCTTCAATTTTGGAATAGTTTGGGAAATTATCTAGTTAGGGTTTGTATGCAACTTGAATCTTATGGAGGTTTTGTGTTTTGATGATCATGTGTAACTGATGGACTGATTCCAGTTCAGATTTACCAACCCAACATATGTTGCTAATGTTACCTAATTTGATTCCACTCACGCAATACCCACTGATTGTTTTGAACAATTAAGAAGTACCCGAAGAACCTCCCTTGATAAATGGATGCATTTTTGTAAAGAAAAATGTAGGAAATTATCCGGGTTTAATGTGGGATAAAGGTTGACATGCTCAGGTAATGCGCATTACACGTCTATATAGTGGGATATGTGTTTATATGCAACTTAAATCTTATAGAGTTTTTGTATTTTGATGACCATTCGTAGCTGATGGATTGGTCCCAGTTCAGATTTACTAACCACAAAATATATTGCTAATGCTACCTAATTTGATTCCACTCAGGTGATACTGTTTATTTGATTCTAAGGCTACTCGTTGATCATTTAAACAATTAGGGAGTACCTGATGAACCTCCCTCAATAAATGGATGCATGTTCATAAAAGAATTATGGGACAAAACTAATAATGTGTTAGTTATATTTCGCAGTCAATCCGGATGTTCATAGTGTTGCATAGTTGGATTTCATTGGCAGTGGATCCGGATGTTTTGTCTTTTGCTGATTTTGTAGAGGACTTGCTTCCATAGTAGTTTTGTTTTGTTTCTTTGCCTTGATGTGTTCAGCAGTTTGGTTGGTTGCTTCTACCTGCTTGGGATTTTTTGTATTCTTTGCAGTGTCTTGATGCTCTCTTTATAAAGTTTGCTTACTTATCAAAATAAATAAATAAATAAATAAATAAATTTTGCAGTGAATATCTATAATGCTCGTGGGAATTGTGAATAATAGGTTAAACATTAGTGAATATTTGTTTAAAAGAGATGGTATAAGGAAATGATCATACAATGCACAAATTCTTTTGTATTTAAATGATGAGAATTCTATTTGCAAACTTGATATCATGATTCTGCCTAGTAAGCCGAATGTATAAATTTCCACTTATGTTGGCTCATAGTTTTGTGAGTCATAGTTGTCTATTTCTTTGACATTTGATCCAATAGCCTTTTGTTGGATAGGAAGAGAATTAATAAATACTGATAACTGTTAGATATAGTATTAGAATGAAAAGATTCATTAGATAATGAACTGTGTCCTAAGCCGTCTTTGGTGATTAATCAACTATTTGAAGTCCTTTTCTTGCGTATACCTGATAAACTAACCTTTTTATATAGATGTAGGAGAATCTCTTTGGGAAGTAAGAAGCCCTTTTGAGACTAAAGGAAGTGTTGTGGGAGGATATAGGAGAATTGTTAGAGACTGAAGGAAGTATTGTGGGAGGAGATAGTGAAGGAAGTGTTGTAGGAGCAGATAGGAGAAATGTTGAACTAATCTGGTGTTATGGCAATGATCCTTGTAGGGTTTATATTCTTTTTATTATCATTTGAACTTGGGGACAGGCTGAGCAAGATGTATTATCAGCAGCCAACTCTCTTATCTGAATCATGTCTGCATGGAGTGTTCATATTTGATGACACCCAAAATTGTATCTTAATGATCTTCTTTTTTTACAGTCTCTACAATATATCCATCAAAATGTTAAACCCATTGAAGGATGTTCTAGAAACAAGGTCCCTTTGAAATGGTTTATTTGTGGTTGGTTGCTAGTTGGAAATAAGGAAATGATTATATTATTCTGAAATGCTTGCTCTCATACTTGCTTCAAAGGTGTAGTTGTATAATTTGATTGCTTTTTGGTGGATGCTTTCTAAAAAGAAAGTATGAAAAGAATTTTAAACGATGAGAACTAGTAATCTGTACAAAGAACGCATATTTATTGCAACCTCAAACCTTCCAAGGTTTTTTCAAACTACTGTGGTCTTTGTGTAGGTCATTTGTGAGGTTTTCCACTATTTTCACATTGAAGTTCCATGAGGTTTATTTGAATGACATTGAACTTCAACAAGTTTCTCTTTATGTTCACGGCCTCTCCTTTCATTAGTTAAATGATTGAAGCATACATGTATATATTTCTGTAATGATTTTGGCCTTAACAATTTAGAAACGTAGAAGGTTGAAACATATATCCTGTCAAAACTAGAGGTACCATGCCATAGTTCATATAAGGTAGTTTCTATATATTTTTCTTTTTTCTTTTTATATTTGAATTTGAAAAGCATAGAGTAAGAGGCATTGGGTGAGGTCAGTTATCAGGTAACTGTCATTTCCAGACCTGAGGCGTTGGTAAAGAAAAAGGAAGAGACGAAAGGGAAAATACCCGAGCTTCAACAAGAGGGAGGAGGGGAATGTATAACTTCATGTTTGTGCTGAAGATTGCTTAACAAAGTAGCAAATATTCCACCAAAAGTTGCTTATGCTAAGTCTTTGAGATTTCTGCCTTCCTGTTTAAATTTCCACAGAATTCCAATTCTGAAGTAATTGAAGCATACCCAAATGGAGAAATTTCAATCCTTACATTATCTATCTGGACACTGTGGTTTTGTTGCTTCTAAGATAATTTCTACTACCAAACTGGATAAAGTATTGCTGGATATTGATATTTAGACCCACCTTTGTTGCCATTATCGTGTTTGAAATTTGAATGCTTGCAGCCATAGCTAACACTTGACATATGGCAACTGAAGTGTCAAAACGGAACTAGGAGAGTGAAACTATGTATGTCAAAAAAACCAGTTTTTTTTTTTTTTTTTGTGTGTGGCATGCATGCTGTTCTACAGGCTTTATATGATTAACTGTCTACTGTATATCTGTGCTAAGTGCAAAGCTCAGTTTACATGGCTGTTGGTTTAACCGTCCCCCCACCATATTGGCTCTTAGTCTTTGCTTCTGAGTATTGTATATGAATATCTCCCTTGCCCACTCAAGTATCACAGCTTCGTTCTTCATCATTGCAGTCTGGTTGGATCATTATAAGCCTTTTTCTTCCATATAAATATGTGGTCAAGAATTAATAGATAGGATATGATGAATTGTTCTCGGTTTTTGGGATTAGGCTCTGTGGTACAAAATTATAACAAAAACTTTGATTTGCATTGTGGATAATACAAATATTATGTGTTGATCATCTATTTTTCAAGAAAATTCATTTGTGATATGGCTGTTTCTATGACTCTTTAACATTAATTCAGGTGTTGGATGCAACGGATGATGAACCCTGGGGTCCTCATGGTTCAGCATTGGCAGAGATAGCACAGAACACGAAAAAATTGTATGTCCAATTTTTTTGTATTTATTTAATTAATTGGGCATTCTTATTCCTCTCACCAGTATCATTTTGTTGAAGAAAAAGAATATACATTTTTTTCACATGGCTGATCTTTTGAGATATCCTTCAGCTCTGAATGTCAGATGGTGATGAATGTTCTCTGGACAAGATTAAGTGAAACTGGCAAGAATTGGCGATACGTGTACAAGGTAGTACTTTTACGATTTTCATATTATTTATCCTTTATGGTCTGATAATTCAAAAACAACCTTCCATCGCTGCCTAACTTTATTGGCCCGTATAGTTTCTTGTTCTATGCATCAAATTTCTAAAATCATTTCTGTACCAGGCATTGGCTGTTATAGAGTATTTGGTGGGCAATGGATCTGAACGTGCAGTTGATGACATAATTGAACACACTTTTCAAATCTCGGTATATGTTTTTTTATGTTCTGCTATATCTTCCCATCCAATTTACCATAGCGATTGAATGAGGTTAGGATTTTCTCTTACTTTTTGATTACCGATATGTTTCTTTCTCCAACTGGTGAAGTCACTAGTGAGTTTTGAGTATGTTGAGCCAAATGGGAAGGATATGGGAATTAATGTGAGGAAGAAGGCTGAAAACATTGTGGCTCTTTTGAATAATAAAGACAAGATACAAGAAGTTAGAAACAAAGCTGCTGCAAATCGTGATAAGTATGCTTCACGAATCACACTATATAGATTTACCTAAGCATCTCTTAATTTTGTTGTGGGTTTATTCACTTGCCATTGTTGCTAGGTATTTTGGACTTTCATCATCTGGAATAACATACAAATCAGGTTCAGCCACATCTGGTAGCAACAGCTTTCAGAGTAGCGAGCGGTATGGAGGTTTTAGTGGTACAAAAGACAGTGATATGTTCAAGGATAGTTATAAGGACAGTGATCGATTTGGTGAAGAGAAGTTTGACAGTGGTACTTCTACCAAGTCACGTCAAGGGGTTACCAGCGAGAATCAAGGAAACACCTCGAAGAAGGGGTCTACACGCTATGGCAGGTTCATATGTTCAATTTAATTACTTGTGTTAGTTTGTAAAGAGATCATATTTTGTGTATAAAGCATACTACCTTGCTTTTCGCATGAGTGGTAGCAAGTTGAGTTTTAAAAAACTCCAACCTGTTTAATGGTCAGGGGTATGACACTGGTTTGCCCTTCCCTAATAAAAGGATGATATCCTGAATATCTTAAAAATATCGGAGAAAAACATTTATTGTGTCCAGTATAAAATAGAACCGCGTTATCTTTAAGTGGGGGAAAAGTTGTCTAAGTTATCTAGCGGCTGCAAGCTTCACATCTGTTGTGTTGCTTGATGTGTTGTACCTTTTGCTGTTATCTATATACATATATCATTCAGGGAAGAGATTTATGTTATTGCTTCTTTTGTTTGGAGTCTTGATTCTTGGTCATTTTTTAATCTTATCTTGACTACTGAAGAACAAGTGATGCTATATTTTTCCTTTGATTGGGATAAGTGGGTTGATGTTCATTGATGAGTAAAACCTATGGGAATTGCTTTCATAGGTGTTCTATGTGTCCATTCTGTCTGCCCTGGGTTTACTAAAGTCTGCGCTTGCATGCACCGTAAATCTGTAATTGAACTTGGAGATGGTCTTCTACTTTGATATTATCTATTCAGACTAGGCAAACCTGTGTTAATGAAATTTAGTAGTTTTATTGTTGGTTAATTGTCAATTTTCAAGGCAGAAACAAATATGCCTTCTTGAACAGCTTTATTTACTGCTAATGTTGATAATGTTTGTTCCGCAGCAAGGGTCAAGATACTACAGTATCTGGTCCATTGAGGCCAACAACAACTAATGACTCTGATAAGTATGCTTCAGTTCCTACACAGAGCTCAAGTGCGCATTCAAATAATTATGAGGAAGAATTTGATGATTTTGATCCTCGGGGAACTTCCACTACCAGTAAGTATTCTTGAATAGGATCAGTAAATATTGTTCTCTTTTTGTGGCTTGGAGAAGGGTTGGTTTTGGGCAAGCTTGGACCGAACCCAGGATATCATGGCTGCGTTGCAAAAAGGTATTTGGATCAGTTAACTCAAATTAGATTTTATCTCAACCCTTTGAGGGTGAGGGAAGAAAGATAAAGTTGGGTTTTCAATTGCTACTAGGCACCTCAGGCATTTCCTATGGCAAAACTGCATATAGTGACACTCCACTGCAATGTATTGACTTGATGCTGTCATCACTCTTTTAATTAAAATCCAAATATTTGGAATTATAATTAAAGCCAAAACCTGGTACCCCCTTTTAGAGTTGTCATAATTCTCTTCCGCAATAAAAACAATTTCTTGTCTTACAACGTGTAAACATCGCTATTTTACAATTACATTTTCACAAGAGGTAAAATAAGAATAAAAAATCAAAAAAATTTGAATTTAAAGATTCCTCTTTTGTGCAGTTTGAAAGGGTGGGATTAGGGTGAAGAAAATGTGGGATTTGGTTAGAGGGAGAAAGTGGGAGACAGTTAATTGAAGTGGACAACTTTTTTATTTAAAAAAGAATAATTCAAAACGAATGATATTATTATATGATTTAATGCCCTAGTTTGTTCTCTTCTAGTTGAAACTAATGGCATATTATTAAATGCTTGCAAAATCTAATTGATTGTCCAGACTCCAGTGGAGAATCCTCTTTGCACCTCAACTCTAATGCATGTGAAGACTTGTTAATCAAAGAGCTGCATATAAACATTTGTCTCTATTTTAAACGCTGACTTCGTATGTCGATTTTGAAACTTCACTGATTAGATTATCAATGAAGGGAAGTTTTGCTAAAAAGAAACCAAAGCAAGCTGTATTACAGGCCTTTCGGAATAAACTGAACAAATCTTTATATGCAGATGTTGTTTGCCCAGCGAGTTCCTAAATCCATGAAATCTGTTTGCAATAATTTCAACTTAAAAATATAAAAATAGCATGAAAGAAAACTACTTTATTGGTCTAGTGGTAACTTGGGGCCAACATTAAGTGAATGCTAGTGATTGAACCCCAAGTGTAGAATATTCAAAATGCACAAACCGGTATATGCTACAATGTGGTGATTGATGAACAAGTGTTTTGTAACACGTGCATTTATATCTTTGCTGTTTGATAGAATCCGCTGCTGGGAACTCTAACCAAGTGGATCTGTTTGGACAAAGTTTGGTTGGTGACCTCATGGATGCACCAACATCTGTCCCCAGTGAAGTGTCTCCTGAGAATAGCAATCTGTCGGAAGTTGATCTGTTTGCCGATGCAACTTTTGTATCAGCTCCGCCCCATAAAGAAGCAGTGGGAAGTTCTGAGACTCAGGTCAAATATATTTTCATTTAAATTCTAAAAACTTAAGTTAAATATGTTGATGTAGCTCTTGTATATCATTGACTCTGAATTTGCTCTTCACTGAACATTTGCCACTATAAGTAAATTCCTAATCGATTTCTTTTCTGGGAAAATATTTTGAGGAAAATATTCACGTTTCTGAGATTTTTCAATTGTTTGAAAGTAACCTGAAATTTTTTCCAGAATATAATCTTCTACCTGTTGCATTGTTTGGATGAATTAAGTAGCAATAACCACATCTTCTTCTACTGTTTTTTGGTTGTGCCCAAGTATTTGATGTTTTGCTAATCTCTCTCTATTTTTTTGTACAATAATATTTTCTTTGGATGAATTAATATTTTTTTTTTGTAGCTGACCCCATTTGATGGGAGTTAAGGCCTGGTTTGGTTAATATTTGGCTGGGAAAGGTGGGAGGAATGAACCCATTTATATGTATGAAAGTTTGGTATTAAAATGACTGATGTTTTAACTACATGACATGGCTATTTCTAGGATAAAAATTAGGAAGAACATCCGCTTGAGAAATTGAAAGTCATATTTTGGTTTGTCCTACTGAAGTCTAGTGGCAATTAGTCATTCTTTTAAGGGATACAGGGTTTAGTTAATTCTTCATCTCGTGCTAGAGTCAATTTGTTATTACTTATTAATTATATTTTTACCATGTGTGCAGACCACGGTTGATCTGTTTGCTTCCCAACCTGCTGCATCTTCTGCAGTTTCTTCATCAATAGACTTTTTTGCTGCTGCTGATCCAATTGTGCAACCAGCCAAAAATTCTTCCAAATCTGACCCGATGAATACTAATGCAGTTGATCCCTTTGCTGCAGTTCCACTGAACAATTTTGATGGATCTGATCTTTTTGATGTATTCACTTCTAATACTGATTCAGTATCGACAGAGGCCACAAAAAATCCCGATGGCAGTGATATTAACTTGAATGGAAAGTCTTCTGCTGAGTCTAAGCCTGCGCCCAAGACGGATACTTTCCAAGTGAAATCTGGAATATGGGCAGATTCTCTGACCCGTGGATTGATTGATCTTAATATATCTGCTCGTAAGTTGACTTTCACAAACTAAATTAGTTTCCCTTTCTGCAGATCTGTTTGCATGTCATTCAAATTCACAGTGATTAAATGGTTTTGGTCTTCATGAGTCTCAAATTAGACTAAGTGCTTCACTTGACGAACAAAAATAAAGTATCAACCCTCAAGCCAAAAAACCTTACAAAATTTTTGTCTTTCTTTGGAAGTGTTTTGATTTCTTTGACATAAGCTGCCACACAGGTTATCATTTTCTCAGCAAGTCAAGTCTGAGGGTCAGGTCAATTGCGGCTGAATGGATCCCTTTTCTTTTTTTTTTCTTTTTGTTTTTTAAGAAAGGTCTCTAAAGGCATTTTAGGACTTTTAGGGTTAGTTACCATCGTTGACATTTAATTGTTAAGAGCAGAAGCTAATACCAAAAGTTTGTTACTTAGAAGTTCTCAAGAGCTATGAAGTTAGAAATTCCTTGTTTTAGGTTATACACACATAAGATATGGCATACATCTCTAAAATTTTGTATTTTCCAAGTTGGTTCAACTGGCTGATGCTTTCTCTGGATGTGACAAACATGGTTATATATTCTAAGCCATGTTGTTGCCTCAGCAGAGAGTATGACCTTTCTTTGCAGTCTCTTCTTTTCTCTTAAAATGGTTCCTTAGTATGTAAAAACACTACTTCCCTCAGTTCATTGAGGTGATTTATTTATGTTGTTTTGATTCTTGTAATACAAATCGTACTTCCAGCCAAGAAGGTATCTCTAGCAGACATTGGCATCGTGGGTGGGCTGAGTGATGTACCAGATGAAAGGGAGAAGGGACCTGCAACTTCATTTTACATGGGGAGAGCCATGGGTACAGGGTCGGGTCTTGGTAGATCCGGGTTTACTTCATCGACTGGAACCGGCACAGATGATATGTTCTCAAGCCTTGGCAGCCAACAATATCAGTTTGGTGGGTTTAAAAAATAATCTTACTAGTAAAATTTCCTATTTCTTGATCAATTTTCAAATGGTATTGAGTGTTTTGGCAAAACATTTGAAGCCACCGAGTATATTGGTGTATCAATATGAAGTGTGAACATAAGAAACAATATGGTGATATGATAATGTGGTAGTGTGGATGGCAACATTTTGGAAATTGTTACAGCATGCCCGAAGAAAGGGTGGCTTGGCCCCAACGGTAAAGACTTCTTGTTAACATTATTGTTCTTCAGAAATGGGGTTAAGATTGAATACATCTTGTGTTTTTCAAATTCTGCTTTTGTGGGGGTCTTGTGTACTTCGCGCTATTGTTAGTGTATGTCTAAAAGACAATGTGAGATGTTGTGAAGCTATATTAAATTTCCACCCTTTCATGGGTGGAAAATGGATGCTCTTCTTTCGTTACATATTTCTTTCAATTTTTTTTTTTAATTTTATTTAGTTCATATTTTATATTGCTGAACTTATTATTCAATTTTGGCAGCCCACCGTTTGAAATGTGTACTCACTCACTGGTGTCATAATTACTTTTTTCTCCGTTTATTGTAGTTAGTTTAATTTTGGATGACAATATTCAGGGGGCAAAATTTGATAAGCCATGTTCACTATTATCATGAATTTTTGAAAACAGAAAAAGGAGAAAAGAAGAGAAAAAGACCATACTCGATTTTATATGGTGTCGTGAATTTGATTCAATGACTTTGTCTGCACAACTCTTCAAATTTAAACAATCCCATGGTGTAATATCTAAGTACATGTCTAAGTACATGATACCGTCAACCTCAATATTTTCAACTCGTTCACCATGGAATTATTTTATCAGAGTAGAAAAATTAGCCTACTGAAGGGTGGTTGTTTCTAATCAAACTTCTTGGCTATCTTTGCACTCTACCTCATTTATCACTTAAAGGTCTTATACTGACCTTGACCTTTGTTATTTCTGAAGGGTGGTTGATTCTAATCAAACTTCTTGGCTATCTTTGCACTCTACCTCATTTATCACTTAAAGGTCTTATACTGACCTTGACCTTTGTTATTTCAACAACGATACAGAGTTTTAATTTTGAAACTCTAAAGAGAGTTATAATGATGTGACAAAAAGAAAAAAATAAACATAAATAAACCCACACATTACATCACATGTAGGTCTCTCTTTTTGGCACATCACTAAAGTTCTTTTTAGAGCTCTCAATCTATATTCTTGTTATTTTGAGGTTATTCAAAATTTGTCTCAATTTGGTACTGTCCTGTGGGGCCAGTTCATCGTTGGCGCAGCTCGATAGCGAGCTCAAAAACGGTGGTTGCTTCTAATCAAACCTCCAACTATCTTTGCACCCGTACATCCTTCAACACGTTCTTATCCCCCATTAACTCACTGACCGACCTCGACCCCTGTTAATTCTGAGGTCATTCAGAATTTGCCTCAATTTGGGACTCTACAACCAGCCCGCACTGAAACATTGCTTTATCTCTAGATTTTCAGTTTACTGTGGCACCTCAATTCATTTAGGGGAGCCAACTACAAATGTGATTTTCTGTGCCAAAAAACCTGCTTTTAAGCCAACTCGAAACGACTGCTGGCCAAGCAATACAGAAGTTGGCGGTAAACAAGATAAACAGCAGCGTTGCCTGCTTCAACCAATCGGCAATATATATATATGTACATTACTGACATGTAGCTAATGTAACAGAGGACTGGAAATCTGTAACACCAAACCTGATTTGGAACCTTCTTTATTTTATTATTACTATTATAGTTATTATTGTTATTGTTATAGAGTCCAGGTTGAAGAGAGAGTAATACAGAATACAGTTCTCAATACATTTCCAGCATTCTCCCTCTCAACATTGCTTCTGCTTTCCGGACCTGCTTCACTGGTCCTATGATAAATACCTGCATGCAAACCACACTATTTAGGAACTTTCATGGACGACCCGTGGTGAATCCGTTTTCACTCAGTATTTGGGTGTAGAAAATACATCATAACATTGCATTAGAAAATCTGAACAAAAAAACAGAAACCGAATTAATTGGCCCAATACAAGGCTGATGGTGATGACAGTTGTTTTTGCTACTTAAAGAAGCAGCTTTCCTCAGGGATTGGAATTCAAATTACAGTTTTCAGGCAATCAAAAATGTTCATTTCATTTTTGATTATTTGGTCCAACTTTACATGAACTCTGCTGAAATTACTACATAATAATCATTTGACTGATCTGCCACATGACCGCAATAAGATGACAATGCTAGCCGGTCCAGAATTTTGTGTTACTTCCAAATTTTTGTGTCAGTTTATAAATTTTAAATAAATTTATTTCCATCCCAAGTTGGCCTTGGTTCCATTGGGTCAAAAAGTGGCAATCTAAACCTACTTTTACATTTCTTGTCGCCAAAATGAAACCACCAGCAGGATGTAATACGTAGTGGCAACAACATAAATGAAAGAAAAACAATGGGTTAAAAAAAAAAAAAAAAAATTATTCATCATCGGGAATGATTTTCGAATTCAAGAATAAATCAGGAAAATAAAGAATAAGTTGGAAGCAAGTGGTAACAACTAGGAATTCAAGAGGTGTTGAAATTATAAAAGATATTGCTAGAAGTTTCAAATATGGAAGAATGATCAATAATGCTTACCATATTTTCAAACAAGTTAACATGCCTTATAAACAAGAAAAACAGATTCCATGCCCTCGATGAAAAACCTGAGATTATTTCCTACTTCTAATGATAATCTAAAGAATTCAATCATTATCAAGGCGAAGTCATTCGGTGCTTCATGAAGCATCACATTTTTAAGTCAAATATTCGTGATGGCAAATTTTTACGACTCAAGTTAACTACGTCCAAGGAGTTGGGTTCCAATATCTAGGTAAAAAATGTCAAAGAACTGTGCTATATATGCTAAAATTGTGGACATTTGAAAGACTGACCTTGTCAGCTGGACCCTTGTTGCCTCCAATGAATATCTCAGCACTGCAAATAAGACAATTCATATATATATATATATATGTAATATATACATGTGTATATATATGTATATGTTGAGAGAGAGACAGAGAGAGAGAGACAATACTTGCAAGACTTCTTTATCGCCAAGATAGAAGCTCCTCTTCTTCCGATAACAAGTCCCATTTTTCCAGGGGGAACATCCAAAACCGATAGGATTTCTTCCTCAGGAGCAATACCCTCCACGATAAGATTATCTGCAGCAATAACTCTTGACTGAATCAAAATTCAGAGTGTAAAGAACTTTTACTAATGTTGGACCTCAACTTGCAGAACATTTCTGCAGTGAGACAGAAAATATTCTCTATTCCTTCTTTCTACATAAATTTGGATATTAAGTAATGCCACTCGCTCACATTGGATGTGATGAACACTTCTCTGTGGAGATAAAAATAAGGGTAAATTATGCAAATGGTCTTTGTAGTTTACACGATATGTCAATTTAGTCCTTATTGTTTTAATTTGCTCGATTTTGCTCCTTAATTTAACAGATTGTGTCATATTGAACCAATAAATAATGGCCGTTAGGTTTGGTGGATGGAAAGTTGTCACGTGCTCAAACGATGTGTCAATTTTGTTCTTGTAGTTTACACGATGTGTCAATTTGGTCCCTATTGTTTTAATTTGCTCAATTTTGATGAGGACCAAATTGACACATCGTTTGAGTTTCCATCTATCAAACCTAACAGCTGTTATTTATCGGACTAATATGACAATCCGTTAAATTACGGGACAAAATGGAACAAATTAAAATAATAGGGATAAAATTGACACATCATGTAAACTACAGGGATCATTTTTATAATTTACCCTAAAAATAAACAAAATATATGTGGATCAATTCTTTGGCCATTAGAAAATAAAGAGTTGGTTTCAGGTATCATCCAAAATATACATGGTTTTGACATCTCAATATTATTGACACTCTAGCAAACAAACCGCTGTCACTTGGATGATCAATTCATGTACCAAAACTCGGAGGTGGCAGGTGTGAAATGAAGTTCCAAAAGTAATGTGTAGTGTATAACTGTGATGGCACCTTCACCTCAATAGCTAGCTTTTGAGGTTGAGTTCTACCCAAGAATATGAAACATGGCATCAAAGCCGGATGTCTCGGGAATGGGATAGGGTGTATGTCCCTGGCCTACCTGTGGCAGGTGTTGCCTAGTGAGCATGCCGCGCATGAGGAAGGGTATGCAGCGAAGCCTCACATCGCTTGGGTACAAAAGTAATGTGCTATAAAAGTGTGCCTCAATAGCTAGCTTTTGGGGTAGACAAGACCGTGTAACAGCAGAATAATGAATGCATAATATTTCCTCAATTGGCATATTCAAAGCGGACAAGACAGTTTTACGAGAATGATAGCATTCTAACACTATATATCTAAAAAGTATAACTGTGAGCTATGAAGCACGGACACCTCTCCGAGGGCTCCGTACCAGTGTCGGGCACGCGGTGGACACGTGTTCGACACGCAGCAGAGAGTGTCCCATTTTTTTTAAATTTTTTTTACATCCGGACACGTTCAGGACACGTTCGCGGGGCAATTTCACAATTTACTAAATTTTTTTGGGGTCGATTTGTAAATAAAAAAAATCATATCAAAATTTGCCCTAATCTACTTCGAATCGAAGAGAAACAGCAGAGAAAGGGTGAGAAAGAGAGGACCTGACTTCGTTGTTCGTCGTTCGTCTTCTTTCCTCGTCGATCGTTTGTCGTTGGTCATCTCTCTTCTTCTTCGATCTGCAATCTTCGTTTTTCGGTCTTCTTCGTCAGTCGTCTCTCGTTAAGGTACTTCTCTTGTTCTTCGATCTGCGATCTTCATTATTCTTCGATTTCCCTCAGTGGCTCTCTCTCTCTCTCTCTCTCTCTCTCAGCCTCCTCTTTCTTTCCTCAGTCGATCATTCTTCGCCCTTTTGATTTTATTTTTTTCTTTTATTCTGATTTTAATTTAATTTTTTTCTTTTATTCTGATTTTAATTTAATTTTTTATTTTCTTTTATTTTTTCTTTTATTCTGATTTTATTTTATTCTATTTTATTTTTTTTATATATTCTGATTTTATTTTTTCTTTTCTATTATTTGAGTATATAATTTTAATAATGTATGTTTATTAATTTCATTATAGGAACCAATTTTTAATTTTATATATGATGTTAAATCAATTAAATGTTTATTTTTTTATAATTTTAATAGTGTTATTTTGTATATTTTATTATCTTTATTTGATTTTTTTAAATAATTTTATGACATATAATAAATAAAATTAATTATATATATTGAACGTGTCCCTAGCGTGTCGTGTCCCCTATTTTTTGAAAATTTACGTCTTTGCGTGTCCGTGTCGTGTCGCTTGTCCGTGTCCGTGCTTCATTTTGTGAGCCTCAAATGCTTCACACCAACTACACTCTCAGCAAGTGAACCTAGACAAAGTAACTTTGTAAGTTTAAGCTTGTAACATTTTACCTGGAACAGTAGGGAGAGATGGCCAATCTGCATAAGCATCATCACTGACGCAGAAGCATCGACAATACAATGCACCACGAACTGCAAGATACCATAATGATCGTTGATTCAATTTCTCCATCATCTTATGGTATATAGCGAGAAGAAAACGAACATCATCTGCAGCTGCACGGACCATCTGTTCAGATAATGGTCTGTATGTCCAAAACTTAGGGTCCTGCAAATGTTAATGGAGACTATTATCAAGACATTAGTTAGGTCTACATGTAATTCGTATACTGCAAACTAATGAAATTGTCAGCACACATGGTTGTTGCATGCCATTTATAGGCACAAACAAACCAAACATGCCCAAAAAAAAAAAAAAAAAAAAAAAAAAAAAAAAAGAGGAAATTTTCTTGTTATGTTGCTAATCTTCAAATTTAGGGGGTACAGTTGCTACAGAAATTTTTTTGTTCTTTTCGAAAAGTAACACATTTGGAATTGGTCATTTTGTTAGGATGTCTAGAAATCCTAACATCCATGAATTAAACACAGAATTTCATCGAGGGAGGTTCCTAGAATCTTACATATTATTCATACAAAAGTACTTGCAACATCAACATTTGCTACTAATTATAATCCCTAGGCTGTCAGCGAGTAGCCATATAGTGTGAAAAGATATTGAAGAAATGATACATCTGACTGGACATTTAGAACACACACCTTAAGACTTCTAAATTTCAATATGATTGAAAGAAACTTTGCAAGTTTTCACAGGAAAAAAAAGTAACACGGGTGCTTATTACATGAGACACGTAAAAAGAGTATGTCCTTGGGAGGGAGGGCACATTTTCATATTTCCAACTAATAGGCACTTCCTATGTGGGTGATGAGTATAGCTGAGATGAGGATACCTAAATAGATGTACGGTAAGAGTAGGAAATACATAATTAAACTATGAAGCATGAACACTTCAGACTAGTTGTTGTAGGCATGTCCTACATGTGTTGGACACCGACACACCGGGACACGTGTCGAACATGCCACATCGCGTGTCTATTTTTTTTTCTTTACTCGCTGGATATGTGGACACGTTGGGGGAGTATGGACACATCACAGACATGCCCTACGTCCAAGAACATTTTTGACTTGTGACTATTTTTTATGGATGACCTATTCATTGTTAAATTAAATGCTTTTGACATTTGTAATATAATGGTTTATAATTCACAAAATAGTATTTTGTATGTTGAATGCTGTTTAAATTATAGTTTAGTGTTTATTTATTTATGTTGAATTAGTTATTTTTATTTATATATTTATTTTTTTGATAAATAAACCAACTTTATTAAAAGGCATCAAGGCGATGCAAAGAATACAAAAGCTAAACGAACTATGCACCACGAGGAACTACACAAAACAAGAATAAAGCAAGTTAAAGAACTATGAAGACAAATCCTCTACAAATTCAACAAAAGACAAAACCGCCGGGTCCACAGACCGCGTTAACCAGCTATGCGCCACGAGGAGCTAACGCCTCTCCAACCAAACCACCGAACGTATCTCCCCAAAAATACCCGCCGATTACGTTCCAACCACAGGAGCCACATAAGACAATGGCCAGCAAAAGTTCCAAGCTCTCCGCCTTCTCTTCCCAACCCTCCCCCCAACCCAGCTTTGTAACACAGCCCTTACAGTCCCTGGCTGAACCCAATCCAAACCGAAGATAGCTACTATAGACATCCAAAGATGTGAAGCAACCGGAAAACAAATAAGCAAATGATCCACGGACTCCGCAGCTCCACAACACATGCAACACCAATTGACCAAAATATGTCCACACCGACTCAAATTATCAATCGTCAGAATACGGCCTAAAGCAACTGTCCACACAAAGAAAGCAATTTTAGACGGACAACCCACCACCCAAACACTCTTCCAAGGAAAAGGCACCCCAACCCTCCCTATAAGCCTATGGTAATAAGAGGAGACAGAAAACACCCCTTTAGACCTTGGACAATCCCACCACATAAAATCCTCTCCAACGTCTCTAAACCGAAGCCCATACAAAAAACCCAACAGACCCAGCACTTGGCCCATCTCCCAATCCTGCACTGGACAACGTAGAACAACATTCCACACAACCACCTGGCCTTGCATCTGGGCATAAGAATCCACCGTCGCCTCCCGGTCAGTGGCAATCCGAAAAAGCAACGGAAACATCACCGCCAATGGCAGCTCCGCACACCACCTATCCCTCCAAAACCGAACCCGAGTCCCCACCCCAACCAAAAAACTCACATTCTTCCATAACTCCTTCCGTCCCAACCAAATTCCGTTCCATAAACTGCGACCATGCGAATGGGTAACCTCCTCCGTACTCCAATCCCCCCATCCCAAACCATATTTAGCCCCAACCACCTTCCTCCACAACCGCTCCCTCTCTATCCCAAACTGCCATAACCACTTCCCCAAAAGAGCCAAATTAAATGAAAGCAAACTCTGGACCGCCAAACCCCCCATCGCCTTAGGAGAACAAATCTGCTCCCAGGCTACGAGATGATAATGGAAGGATTCTGACCCTCCTCCCCATAATAAATCTCTTTGTAACTTTTCCAACCTCCGAGCAACAGACACAGGAATAACATGTACTGGCATGAAATAAGTCGGGATACTCAAGAGGACACTCTTGATCAGTGTAACGCAGCCCCCTTTCGAAAGATATTGCCGCTTCCACCCTGCCAAACGACGCTGCACCTTGTCCACCACCCCATCCCACACCCTTGGAGCCTTAAAAGAAGCTCCCAAAGGTAACCCCAAATAAGTTGTGGGTAAGGCCACTATCTTACAACCCAAAATTGCAGCCAATATAGAAATACGTGGCACGGACCCAACCGGAATCAACTCTGACTTCCCCAAATTCACCCGAAGTCCCGAGACCGCCTCAAAACAGAGAAGAACACACCTTAAATAACCAACCTGACTCTCCTCCGCGCCACAAAAAATAAGAGCATCATCTGCATAAAACAAGTGAGACACCACTAAAGGAGTAGTCTGCTTCATACCCATCTCAAAACCTGTCAAAAGACCCCTCTGAACTGCAGTAGAAAACAAGGGCTCCAAACCCTCCATAATTAAAATAAACAATAAAGGAGACAAAGGGTCACCCTGCCGTAAACCCCTATGAGTCAGAAAAAATCCTGCTGGCGTCCCATTCACTAGAACAGACATCCTAACCGTCGATATACAAAACTGAATCCACTGCCTCCACCGTTTCCCAAACCCCATACGCTCCAACATATACATCAAAAACCGCCAATTCACATTATCATATGCTTTCTTAATATCTAACTTACAAATAAGACCTGCACTCCCCTGCCAAATTCGCGAGTCAACACACTCATTTGCTACCCAACACAGCATCCAAAATCTGACGCCCCCCCCCACAAAGGCATTCTGGGACTCAGACACCAGCCCCCCTAAGACACCGTGCAACCTGTTAGCCAAAACTTTCGCCAGAAGCTTGTACACACTCCCTAACAGGCTAATGGGTCGGAAATCTTTAATATCCGCCGCCCCACCCTTCTTAGGAATTAACGCCTCTGTTATCAGAATCTTACGATTCACGATTCGATTCACGATTCGATTCGCAATTTTTGCAAAATCGATACGAATCTATTGGTGAATCTATTTTGGAAGTGAATCTCTAGTGAATCGCACGATTCACAATTGATTCACGATTCGATTCACTTTTTACGATTCATGCAACTTTTGAAATTACTGTGTCCGACATATTTTCGACTCTTTTTTTCTCCATCTTTTTAGTGAAAATGGCAAAATACAACTTTTAATAGCGTTTAATACCAAAATAACCAACATATATACATGGTTTATTGTTATTTTAGCGATCATGGAGTTTTCAATAGGATCCAATCAGATTCAATCAGACCCAACATATTTTTAACCTTTCTTCTCATTTTTTTTTTCTTTTAAAAAATCATAATTTATGTTATAAAGATGTTTAAGATTAAAGTTACACTATAAATTATCTATTACTATTTTATTAAATTGAATATTACATGTGTGAGGTTAGTTATACTTTTTAAAATGTTTTAGGCTTTAAAATAAAAGATTCTAAATAATTCCTTCTTATTATTTGCTCACTGTTACTTAGAAAAGTATACATGCTTATTGTCTAAATATCAACATTGTTGTTAATTATTGTTACTTTGAAAATTGATAATTTGTCTATTTGGTTACTATATTTATTAAGAATGGCTGATAAGAAATATCTAAAAAAGAAAAAAGGCAAGATGGTGATATTACATCTTTATTAAGAATGGTTGATAAGAAATATCTAAAAAAGAAAAAAATGTAATATGGTGATCTTACATAAGAACCTTTGTTAACTTCTTACCTATTAAACTACGTGATTATTATTCAAAATAACATTTTCATTGATTTAAGTCTAAATATTTTATATTCATAAGATATATTTAACATCTAAATGTGTAGATATATATTTTTAAGTAATTTAAAAAAAGTGACTGAATCTTTACGATTTACGATTCGATTCGATTCGCGATTCAGTACAAGGCCATTTCGATTCACGATACGAATCCCGATTTGACAACTATGATTAACGCTACAAAAGTTGCATTAAGACTCCTTTCAAACTGCCCGGACTGATAAAACTGGGCAAACAAAGCTAAGACATCTGTCTTGACCACTTCCCAACACTGCTGGAAGAAAAGCATAGTAAAACCATCCGGGCCTGGCGCCTTATCCCCAGACATTTTCTGAAGAGCCTCGAAAACCTCCTCCTTGGAAAAAGGCCGTTCTAGCAACTAGCTGTCCGCCTCTGAAAGAGCATCAAACGGAACACCATCCAAACTTGGCCTCTAGATCCCATCCTCTCCCTGAAACAAATGCTGGTAAAAGTCCACTATGCCCTCTCTCACCTCCTCTTCTGACGATAACAACACCCCATTAACCCACAACTTTCCAACTTGATTAACCCGACGATGAGCATTCGCCATATGGTGAAAATATTTTGTATTCCGATCCCCATCTTTCAACCACAAACATCGCGACTGCTGGCGGTAACTAATCTCCTCCATATGAGCCACCTAACCATACTCCTGTCTCACCCCCTCACGGACCGCCAACTCCTTAGCAGTCAAGCTACCCGCCACTTCCTTTGCATCTAACTCTTGCAATACAACCAAAAGATTAGCTTTTTGAGTCTCTAACTGGCCAAACACCTCCCTTTTCCACCTTCGCAAGTCGGCCTTTAAAAGTTTTAATTTCTGAGCCAATCTATAACTAGCATCTGCCATGACATCATAGCCTTCCCACCACGATCGAACTATATCCACAAAACTTGCAGATTGGGCCCACATATTTTCAAATCTAAATGGCACCGGTCCACTCCGAATCCCACCACTATCCAACAGTACCGGCCAATGATCCGAGACAGGACGCTCCAATCTTTGTTGAACCACTCGGGAGAAATGCTCCTCCCAATCTCCTGAAATCAAAAACCGGTCAGTACGCGAAAATACCCGACCACCCGACCAAGTGAAGCTACCTCCCTGCATCGGGAGATCAATCAACTCCAGATCATCAATCAGCAAAGAAAAATCCTGCATAGCACCCACTGCTGGGCGCAAACCCAACTTCTCCGCTGACCAACGCACCATATTAAAATCCCCCCTACACACCATGGCGCTGACCACCGAAAAGCAATATTCTGTATTTCGTCCAAAAATAAAGGCCGCTCTGCCCCCCTCACCGGCCCATAAACTCCCGTGAACACCCAATGAAAATCATCTCCAATACAGCGAAACAAACATGATAGAGAAAAACTACCCACCTCCTCCTCTTTTTCAACCATTCTTCGATCCCAACACAGTAAAACCCCCCCCCCCACCCCAACAGATGACAAGTATGACCAATCTATATACCGGCCCCTCCACACCTCCATAACCACCGCTTGGTCTATTTAATCCATTTTGGTCTCCTGAAAACATACAACATCCGCTTTCGCCTTCCTTAAAATCGCCCTGACCGTCACCCTTTTCCTTCTATCATTAAGACCACGCACATTCCAAGTCAAGATTTTCAACCGCATGGCAACAATGACTGGTTAACCCGTTCCTTCCTAACAACCCTACCACCTTCTGGTGGCCTTCTATCATAATTAATAGTACACTGCAAATTGCGCAACTCTCGAGCACCCTTTCACGGATGCCCGACCACTTGCAACTGTTTCCTGAATGTACATCGGTGTAAAATAATATATTTTTGATGTATCCCCATTGTATCTGTGTCATGATTTTTTTTTTTGAAATTATCATTTCTTGTGTCTGTGTGTGTGTCCTGTAGATACAACAGTAATAAAGAGTGATATGTATATATATTTGGGGTTGTTTGGGATGATCTAAATAAGTACACTTTTTGACTTTTTATGAAATATGGATTGGGTTTGATGTGAAGTGGTAGAGAGGTGATGTGGCTTAAATAAGATGATATGACTTAAATAGGATAGTGACTTTTTGACTTTTTAGCTTTTTTGAGTTATGCCAAACTTAGCCTTAATTTAATTGAACATATAGCCCTTGACATGGCAGAATGATAGAAAATAATTCAAGTAGCCGATAGCCGTGATTAGAATACACAGGGCTTAGTTTAGTTTGGTTTGGTTTAGGCACTTGTTACGCGGTGATATAACTACATGTTAGCTACAGACCAAAACACAGAATAGAGGATTAACAGAATTTAAAACCATCCAAGTCTGAATTATCATAACTAATGCCAGTTTCAAAATAATAAAGCCATGAAAACCAACCTGCCTTAGAAGGACGCGAACTTCTTGTTTCTCGACATAAGATATACCTACATTCAAATCCTCAAGGTGAAACCCCACATCAACATGATAATTTAAATTTGATGTAGAGTCAAAACACAGTACTTCCTGGACCATGCCCAGTAAGAAACACAGCATGCTTGAAACATGCACACAAGAATTCATCACGGCAATGATAATTTGCCACGTATTCAAATCCATCACGCAGGAACACTAATAAATTGCACAACGACGTTCAGGTCGTCTGTCTAACACAATTGCTAACTGAAATTAACCAGTGACAAGGCAAGTAGAAGGCTATATTGAGCAACCAAATGGAATGCTCCACTACCCTACATTAATTGACCAAATCTGCACCGAAACAAGTAGGGCACTCCTTTACAAAACTACCAAGCTTCTTGAAAGGGAAAAAGAAACAAGAAATTCATGCAGATCTCTTATTTTCCATGGTCTAGTTCATTCAAAAATGAGAGAAGAAAAAGTTGAGTGCTTAAACGAAAAAAGAAAAACAACCTCAACAGGCCTCCAAGACTATCACCTAAAAAATGAGGTGATTTAGGGAAAAGTACAACATTAAAGCAGAAGCCATGAAGCACAAACACATTTAGAAGGGGATTTCATAATTTAAAAAAAAACTTAAAAGGGGATGTTGTCAGGCTTATCCTTTCCACTGCCCTACTTTCCCACTTTTCACAAACAAACTAATGAAAATTATCAAACCTTCACTAATCTTCTTTTCCTTTTACATTTTACTCTTTCTGAGCTCTTTCTTCTTTTAGATCACAAACCAAATAGTGATTTAATATATAATATGACCAAAGAAATAACATCAACTGAAAAGGGTACAATGGAATATTCTCCGGTAGTCATTATTTTCAATGTCCAATTGAAGCAACACTCCTATGCATTGTTTGGTTTATTGGTTATTTATAAAACTGTAGGTTATAAGGATAGGTTTAAGGAAACCCCTAGTTAGCATATGCTCTTTGTGAGTAGTTGGATGGTGAGATGGATGGAGGATGGTTCTCTAGGAAGACGGTAGTCACAAGACCTCCAAAGCTCGAGGAGAAGACAACAAAGGAAGTCGAGGAGAGAGAGAGAGAATGAAGAAGTTTCTGGTTTGTGGAGCATGGACACTTCTGTGGAAGAGGTGTGCCATGTCAAATACCCATGTTAGACACAACACTCTATAGACACTCCTAAAAGCATGCCCGACACTTCTTCAACGTGTCTTGATTAAAAATCTAAATTAATCACTTCTTGGACACTTTGACTTCTTGAACCCTATGTAAAAAATCTCTTCATAGTAACAACGTTCTACAAATGCAAATTGTGCACTCTAAGTATATTTTGAAACATTTATAAGATAAAACACATAATTGTGTATTTGAATATTCTACAATTGTTTTACATTCTTTATAATACAATTGTAACGTGAATAATATCTTGATATTTGAGTTATAGAATATATGGTAGTGTTTGGTAGAATTTTTGAATTATGATTTGAGAATAGAATTGTATTTTGAGTTTGTAAGTTTTGGAATTATAATTTGAAAAGAGAAAATTTGTTTGGTTATGAGCTTTGAAAAGAGTTTTGAATTTTTGATGTGACACATGAAATGAGAAAAGTTATTTGGTTATGAGTTTTGAAAAGAGTTTTCAAAACTTAATTGAAAAACTTATAATTCATAACCAAATATACAACTCAAAATTCTATTGAAAATTCTATTCAAAACTCATAACCAAACTCTTTTTAAAATTCAATTCAAAAAAAATAATTTGTCATTTTGGTCTAAAAAAATAATTTCTATATTTAAAAAATATTAAAAACAAATATAATTTTTTTTTTCCTTCCAAATAACAAGTGGTGATTGACAAAAGCAAATGCAAAAGCAAAAGCAAAAAAAAAAAAAAAAAAAAAAAAAAAGAGTACTGTTCCGGTCAATCGGCCGGACGACCGAGTAGACCAAAAATTCAAAAAATGTTTGGTTTACCAAACATGCTTTCTAAATGTGTTTTGAAATTGATTTGGAATCATGATTTAAAAACTCTTACCAAACATAAGATTAGAATGTAAGAGTAGAATTAGTTTTGGAAAGTCTTACCAAACACAGCCTATGGTTTTTAACTTTAATTAGTGTTATATTACTTTTTTTATTATCTTTGAATAAAATATTCTTATATTTGATATATAATAAATATATAAGAACAATTTTTTTGAATGTGTCTTAGGCATGTTGTGTCTTGCATTTTTTGAAAATCGTCATGTCAGCATGTCTATACCGTGTCGCGTGTCCATGTCTATGCTACTTGCTTGGAGGAGAGTAAGGTGATTGTCTTGTTATCTTCATACATGGAGAAGGCCCTTTATATGGGAGAACCGAACTATGTGGGTTGCTTAGCCATGTACACCTGGCTAAGCCCACCTTGGTTCAACAATCGAAAGGGCAGCTTCTCACCTACATACTGTGACCATGGCAGAACTTGAGGTTGTATCATGGGGCTACAGTTAACAATCCTGGTAAACCTTGAGGAGTGCACTGCAAAAACTACAAAGTAGGTATGATACATTCTTCACAGAGTCACATGTCTTGGTCAAAGCCTCTTGCTCCCTAAGACCGGTCAAGGTGGAACCACCTGAGGGGGTGAACCTAATAACCTTGACGATCGCTCCTTTAGCCTTCAAGCCACAAGTCCTCCAATGATCTTAAATGAGGGTTCATGGCCTTACTTCCAGTCTAGGCGATTATGGTGGTGATAAAATTGCACAGTGTTTCTCTTCATTTGTGTATTCTGGGTATTCTTAGACTAAACAAAATATTGCATTGTTTTCTGTTTTACGAAACACCAAAAAGTTGATTTCAAATATTCAAAAACTGTTTACACAAAAATGAAAACAACATGAAAACAATGGGTATTTTTGAACTTTTCATTGTTTTTGTTACTGAAATACAAAAAATGAAAGCAAAAACGATACCAAACATGTTGGATTTTAAAATTGTTTCCTTGTGTACTTCTTGAGCCTACCCTAGGGATGAAAAATCCATGGTAATGCTGATGTATTTTATCCAACTTCCTCATATTTGTTGATTTGATTATGTTTCTTAACATTTCTTTCATGTTACATAGAACTTCAGAATTCCTACGCAAAGAAATGTACAGGCATTACTAAGAGACACTGTGTTTAGAAAACTGAGTATGAGGGCAAGCACACATCCCATACCCACGTTTATTGAGGTTATCTAATCATAAACCTCATGCAAGTTACCAATTCTTTACATCAAATACTTTGGGCAGTACAGAGCATATGCTTATAGCAATAGAATATCAGACCAACATTGGTGTGTAAGCATAAACAAACAACATAAGCACAATTCTAGAGTAACAGAAAAATTAATAGCTAGAACCATTCAAGAAATTAATCTTTAGAGATTTTTAGCAAGCATTTATGACGAGCATTCCACATATTTAAACCTCAAGCAGCAGTTCCAGAACCAGAAAACAGAAAAGTAATGAAAACAAATAGTAGAAAAGAAAAGGTACCACGGCAGATTAAATACCACAATAACGTGGATCTCCAAGAAGGCCAACAAATGATATGTAGTCATCTGACAATCTTGCCCGTCCTTCTTGCTCCTCTATCATAGAGTAAGCAATCTACAATGAAATGATAATACAATATTAACACGCTAGATAATAAACCCATTGTGTTTCTCAGTCCCAAACTGCTTCAAGGAGTAAGTATCAGTCACTTCAAGATACAAGACCTCAAACTTATATTAGTCTAATTATGAAAAGCATACTTGAATAAAGAATGAATAAAGAAACAAAAGCACAGAAATGTTAAATGACAGGAGAAAAAGTTTCATAATAAAATAAATAAACAACTGAAACAGTTTCATAATAAAACCAGCCAACTATAACGTCAAGGGGCTTCTGAGGCCATCAAATCATGAATCTATTCTCAACCGCCTGGGGGGAGAGGGGGTGGGGGGGACGTTATGACCTCTGGATCCAACAGGTGCTGGACTCCTACTGGTAGCAAAAAGGGTTTCTGACTGCACTCATCATATTCCAATTCAGAAAGTTTTCCACACAGCATATAACTCATTAGGCCAATAATAAGCATTACTGGACCAACAAGGTAATTGAATTGTAAAACCATGAAAGTGCCACATCATTTTTCTACAAATGTGAAGCCGGGCGTGTACTTTACAATTGAACCCAAAAGGAAAGCAGATTTTTTTTTTTTTTTTTTACAAGTCAAATAAGTTCACTGCTAACTTTGGCAAGTCTAGTAGTGAATAAAGCATAAAAAAATCAAAGATTACATGATGTCTTTTCCACAAGAAGCCGGAAGCCTAAAAAAATCTCCTTTTCATAGCAGTGATATGTCCGAGTAATGCATAAAACTATGATCGACTGAAGCAAAATGTAAATACAACGAAAAACGGGGTGGGAAAATGGAAAGAAAGAAAAACAGCAGTCCCATCCAATAATCTTTGAGAATGAGGATTGACCTGGGTATCCACAACATTGTTCAACTTGATGCCAAATTGATAATACAATGCCTGCTAAATAAAATAGGTTCAACGATGTCAAATATATGTTTATATATATATAAAGAAAAGAAAAACATGCATGAGCAAAGAAAGTCATTCACAGAGACCTCACTATCTCGTTTGCAATCGTGAATAACTTTGGTGATGTAACTAGACTCAAGTGCAGGTTTGCAGGCTTTCATAAGTGTCTCTCCACCCTGTATAGCATCAACCAAATATATAGCATCTGGAAAGGCAAGCTGTCAAAGACAAAAGCCTTATATCAACTGACAAAGCTAATCTTTCATGATATACTTTATCAACAATACATGCATGTCTCAATGAAATCCATGAAATGCAACATCTAAAGCGCCCAAAAGCATAACAGCTGTATGTTGCATTGCCCCAAAAACAACACAAACTAAAAACTCATGCTTCATAACTGGCATTAGAACCTAGATGTACAAAAATAAATAAATAAATAAACAAATAAACAAAAAACATAAATATTCTTTCAAAATAGAAGAGCAGTAATATTTAGAGACTTTAAATTGAATTTTCAAAAGTCATAACAACAATCCATATTGGTCTAAATATGTGTCTTGCCCCATATTGCTTAATGCCTGAAGCTGTGGCAGTAGCAATTGATTTTGCATACTGCAGATGCAAAAGGGGTAACAAGAATAACAAATAAAAAGTATATTGAAGACCTGCAACAAACATCTGCTTGTGCTTAACCAATCATTACCAATTCACTATTCAGAGGATCAGCTTAATCATAATACATAGAAACTATTTTTTATACAAGTATGGAACCAAGGGGGTGTCACCCCTGTACATCATTAGGAACAAAAAGAAAATAATTACAAGGAAACAAAAAGTATAAACCCTCTCCAAAATTCAACTCTGCTATAAATCCACTAACAAAAATAAAGACTCACAAAACCCCTTAAACCAAAAATGAAAGGGTTGAAGCAAAGTTAGATGTATAGCCATTTGTACATCCTCAAAAGTCCTCCGATTTTTTCTCTCCGAAGGCCCTACACATTAAGCATATGGGAGCCACCCTCCAATCCTTCTTTGCCATCTTCACATGACACCCATGAGCCCAACATTCATCGAGCTAAAGCACAAAATGTAGCACCACTCAACTCACACTAAACATAGAAAGCAGTAAGCTCCACAATTCTCTAGCTACTTCGCCATGAATCAACAAGTGATCAACCGACGACTCCACTAGTTTGCACATACAAAATTGGTTAGGCAAAAAGGAACCTTTGTTGCTCAAGTTATTTGGAGTCAAGATCCTCCGAGGTTGCCATCCAAAAAAAGAAAGCTACTTTAGCCTGTGTTACATGGACTCTTCTACTTCCCAAGTGTACCCATGTCTACTACATATGACAACGGTAAGGGTGTAGGATGCGTACCCAATTTAAGCAATTGAATTGTCTACTTTTATATGATGTTTGAAGAAGAATACGGTTACATTTGCTAGTAAAGAAACATTTATAGTTATTTCATCCCATTTGATGGGGCTTAAGGCTTGGTTTGGTTTATCCCAATATCCTTTAAATTAGGTTTAAGAAGATCTGACGCTTAGATATGCACCCGCACCCAATACTCGTACAAGTCCATGTAACATAGACTTTAGTAGGATATCCCAAATTATATAGTAAAACATGATGGTAGGGACTTTGTTTATTTGATGTTCTAAATTAACATAGACTTAGTAGGATCTCCCAAGTCCATGTAACATAGACTTTGTTTGTCATAGAGCGATTTTATGCCTAAACTTCTAGATTAGCTTCAATCTTTCAACTAGTCTACATATTTGCACGTGTATGAAATGCTTCTCCACAACTATTATATTTGTTCAAATGCATGTAAAACATAGACACTTAGGATAAGGGAAATAGTGAAGTTTGTAGCATGTTAACATTGAAGAAGCAATCTTGATGAGAAGGGCATCCATCAGAATGCAGGGTATTATTCCATCATGTAATGTAAATTGGTTATTATATTAGTGTAATTTACCTGCATGATGCAAAGAGTTCCATTACGACAAAGGTCAACACCCTCACAGTCAAAACCAATCACCAATTGCCTCTCAAGAGAGGGCTCCAAGAACTGAGGAGGAAGTTGAGATGCATGGGTGACAATATGGATAGGAACCAAGGGCAAGTGATCTTCATAATCTATGGGTTTCCCACCTGCAAAATACAGAGATTTTATTTTATTATTTTTAACAAGAAATAAAAATGATGGTAAAAAAATATTGGTCTGATTATCGGGAAGTGGCTTTCCCCAAGAAAGAATAGTGGAATAGGTATATATATTTATATTAGTTCTGAAAGCTATATAGTCAAGTTAATCAAGAATATGCTCTGGAATAAAAATATCTATTTTATCTAGTTAAGAAACAAAAGTTGGAACCCCCACAAGCACACTGCTTAACACCAAAGTTACCTAGATTGCGGATCGTTCTGGTATGAGGAATGTGAATGTGGTGAGCCATGTATAACATATAATGTGGTATGATAGGTGAAGACTTCTATAAATCAGAATATTAGAATTTATTAAGGCAATTCTAAATGTGAGAAATTTTTTATTAACAAAATGGATATCCAATGAAACATAATTTATCGTTCTTCAAATTAATAAAAACACATTTCTAAGAGCACTATGGCCCCTATTATTACATTGTGTCCAGCCAAAACTCCCCTCTTTCTAGATTTTACTTCATTATATTACATTCCTTTCCTACTCAAAAAAGTGTGCCTTTAGGCTTTACTGATAACATATATAGGGATTTTCTCGCTTAGGCTTTCTTCAATCATCAAAGAAATAAATTGTAAAAAATCTGGATCGTTGTGAATCACTATGTTCATGATTTTGGAATGGAAGTGTATTATGTTTTGGAACATGCATAATCACTATTAGTATTTTTTGGTAACACTTCTTAACACATTTGCCATCAAGTGTATTGGGGGATGTAGTACAATTTGATGCATAATAAAATCAGCCTATATTGTCAACCATTTTTTGTATAGTCCAATTTAAATTAATATGATTATTGCTATGAGTGGTAGGGTATAAATATGAAAACAATCATTAGAATCAAAAGTACACCATGAACAAGTAGCAAGTGATGAATGGGGCAAAATTTTGGAAAGCTAAAGGAGGGAATAAATTAATAGAGAAGCCAAAAACCAAAAATGTTACATTCTAGGGTAATAGATTCAAAATAGGAATAACCATCAATTACATTTTAAAAATTGCATATAGATAAAATGTTTTCACTCCCATCCTCCCTATTTCAAGTGCATTCACTTACTACGTATAAAAATTTCCACTCCCATCAAATGTATCAGGGCATTTAGTACAATTTTAAGCATGACAGAATCAATGCTATCATTTGGTAAGAAAGCAAAAGGAAGAAAGAAATCAATAAAGAGGGGGAAAAAACAAAAAATGTTAAATTCCAGGGTAATAGATTTGAAATAGGAAACACAATCAATTCAATTTTAAAACTTCCATGTAGGTAAAAAAAAAAAATTCCACTCCCATCCACACTATTTCAAGTGCATTCACTTACCATGTATTAAAAACAACCAACAAACAAGTATTAAGCATAGGGTTCTAACAACTAGAGGAATATCTACTTGCTTAATAGGTTTTCTTCATGAATCTCAAATGTATATGGCTTGCAAGTTGGAATCAAAACCCTAATCATGTCCCCTCTTCCAGATGCCATGACTAAAAAAAATTGCACCATATGCTATAACAAATATAAATACTATCTACCTTTGTTTTTTGAAAATAAGACAATATTCCATACTTGCAAAGCCTTCTCTAATTGTTTCAAGTATTGAACAAGAAGACACGCATAAACCAGAAAAATCATTGGTATTAGACTCTTTTAAGTTTGGCCATTGTCTGGCTGAAGAAAATAACATTAATTTGAAAGGGGAAAATTAAGGGCTAATCAAAAATTGAAACTACCAAAAACCCCTGAACCTACAAAAAAGCATGTGGAGCAAATAGCAGCAAAACCTAAAACCCTACTTCAAAATCATCATACACACACACCAAAATAAATAAATAAATAAATAAAAAAATAGAGAGAAACAATTCGTAAGTTCTATGTCACTTTAACAAAAGCCATTTCTCAAAACACCCCTAAATCAAAACTTCAAAATTTGAAAGAGAATTGTAATTGCCAATAAGAATTCAATAGATGAAAAAACAATGAATCAGTCCCCAAAAGAAAAATCAAATTTTAAGACAGAACCAAATAACCGTTTTCAAGACTAAAAACGTAATCAGAAGACTTGTGATCGACAATTCATGATATGAAAATCTCGAATGGCATAAAAACCCAGAAAGCAATTGGCATAGATACATAAAGGGTGTGCATATAAATTGTAGAATGGTGATCAGATTGAAGTATATGAAGAAAGAAAATTTACCCGGGTCTGATTGATGAGACGAAGGAGGGTCCGCCATGCGATCGGACCATCCAAGCAGATCAAAACGCTCTCTCTCTCAATTTTATGTACGGTATATACATATATATACATATCGGATTTAGCTTTCTTTTTCTCGGACTAGATCTAGTGTGGAAGAGAGCACGTGCTTACAATGAACCATCCCATTTTTGCTAAATGTTTGTATAAATTAAATAGATTAATTTCACTTTTATCTCTTAAATTATTATTATTTTTTAGGTGTAAATTGTATTTTATATTTTTTATATTGATTTTTTTTGTTGGCCTTTGAATTTTTTTATTTTCTATTTTGACCTTTCATATTTTAAATTTTTATCAACTGACTCATAAATTTAACTTTTATTCAAAATTAAGGGGTATTTTGAATGATATAAATAAGTATATTTTTTTAATTTTAACAAAAAAACGTGAAATATGAGTTGAATAGAAGTAATGTGGTAGAAAAGTAATGTAATCCAAATGAGATGATTATAACCAAAATAAGATAATGTGTTTAAATAACATGAGTTATGTTAACACATGCCAAACACCCCCTAAGTAAAAAAAATATTACGTTAACTGTCACATAACATAAAATATATATATAAATATATATATATATATATATAAGTATTTGAGTTTGTATAAGAGATTTGAGTAATATATAATAAAAAAAAATTGCAGTTAATGTAATATTTATGTCTAATTTTGAACAAAAATCAGCTTAAGAAATAAATTAAAAAAATTTAAAACATGAAGGATCAAAATGAAAAAAAAAAAAAAAACTCCAACATCCAAAGTGAAATAATTGCCAAACGTAAAAGGGGTAAAGTGTAATTTATCTTATTTTATTTTATTTTATATTTTGGGTAAATTACAAATACATCTCACAAGATTTGCTTGAAAAATTATAAATAACTCATTGTCAATTTTTTTTATCTAATAGAATTGATTGAAAAAATAAAATTTCTAACTACTCTCCTATGTAATAATAAAATTACATGAATTATTAATTAAAATAAATTTCTGACATCATTAAAAACTATTAATTGACTTAATAATTTATTAATAGAAGGGGCCATTGAAATTAGAAAATTCAAGGGGCGTGATGTAATTTTCAAACTCACAAAGAACAAATCATATTTTCAGCAAACCTAAAAGATGTATTTATAATTTACCAATTTATTTTTGGACAAATTACACTAACAGTCCCTATAGTTTGGAGCTTGTGTCACTTTACTCCTTGACTTTTCAATTGTGATACATTTGACCCTGAATTTTGAATCTTGTTCCAAATAAGAATAATTGAAGATACCATTACTTAATTTTATTGGTAAAATCGTCAATTTGATAAAAATATAAAGTAATTTGATAAAAATAAATGTCAAAAAAATATTTTAAAATTTTTAAAAATTATTTCTACCCACCAAAGATGAAATTATGTAAAATTAATAAATCTTTTAAATATTTATTTTTTTACCAAATTAATTTTTATTATGTGTTTGGATGATGATCATGTAATGGATAGTTGTTTTTATTTTTATTAAATTAGTTTCTATTTTTCCAAAACTTAAATATGGCGACAACTTTGATATCATTATTAAATCAATCCATTAAATCAAAAAATTCAAAACTGAAAACATTTTATATATTAAATATATTGATTACACATTAAAAGCTTAAGAACCACACATTTCATGATCATCATGCAAACACATAATAAAAATTAATTTAGTAAAATAAAAAAAATAAATGTGTAAAAGATTTATCAATTTTACATAATTTTATCTTTGGTGAGTAGAAATAATTTTTAAAAGTTCAAAAATATTTTTTTGACATTTATTTTTGTCAAATTAGTTTATATTAATTGACGACTTTGCCCCTTAAAATTGAGCAATGGTATCTTCAATTGTCCTTATTTGAAACAAGATTCAAAATTCAGGGTCAAATGTGTCACAATTGAAAAGTCAGGAATTAAAGTGATACAAATTCCAAACTATAAGAATTGTTAGTATAATTTGTTCATTATTTTTAGACTGTTAATTTCATCTATCTAGTTTTTAAAATTTTAATTTCAGCTATTGTGATATAATTGGAGAACATTGTCCAAATCAATTAACGCCTAATTTGATGTGAAAAAAAATTATTTTAAAATTTAAACAATTTAAATTATACAATCAAACCTTTTTTAAAAGTATTATTCACTATTTTGAAAGGAAAAGTGCAAAAGAAGATGGGTATTTAATTAGATGGTTTAAGTTATCCAATATAATATTATGAAATATTTTGAAAAGATAGTTAAAAGTTGATTTTTAACTTTTAATTAAATTTTTTGATTTTTTCAGAAAGTCATTGAGGAAGTTATAGAAAAAATCTACTTTTTGACTTTTTTATTTAATAGTTGTTTATGCTGTCATATAATAATCAAATAATTAAAATATTCCCACCCATTTTAGAATGTAACCACTTTCATCCATGTGGTTCATTTAAACAACATGGAGGGTATATCTGTAATTTCACAGATAGCTTTTAACTACCTTCCCAAATGGTTGGGAGTTTCTATTTACACACACTCATTCCCCTCTTTACACATCTTTTTTAATAAATAATTGGTTCGGAAGTAGATTTTCGAAAATGAGCAGTTGGTTCAGAAGTAGCTTTCCGAAAATAAACAATTGGTTCGGAAGTAGACTTCCGAATTTTTATTATTTTTTCGACATTCAACTTCCGAATGTGCTTATTTGATGTCTATAATAGTTATTTCACTTGAAAAAAAAATTATAATAAAAATAATTTTTATGAAGTGTGTGCAAAGAGGGGAAGGTGGATGTGTAAATAGAAGTCCCCCAAATGGTTTGATGGCAAAAAAACCATTTTGACTTTTTTGGCCCAAGCTGCAAATTTACCAGTGTTCCCAAATGGAGCCTGTATATTTGGTGGTATGCTCTAAATTGTTCAAATTGTAAAATTATAATTTTTTTCAATTATGTTAGGTTTTTTGTTATTGATTTTGATGGATACTCTCCAATTAAACTATGTGAACTGAAATTAAAAATTTTATGAACCAAATAAATAAAACTAGTAGTTAATGAGGCATAAGTGAATTAACTCAAATTATTTTTAAAATAGTAAATTTCACTTTACCCTTTGGCCCCGTTTGGTTCATATGCATCTAATTACTTCATTTCATTTGGAAATAACCACATAATTCCTTATGATTTCTAAGTTGAAGTGCATCGTTAGACTTGTTAACGATTTAATGAAAAGACTAAAATACATCTCTATATAAGTAATCTAACTGTGTGAATTATGAATATTTTTGTCATTTATTTGGAAGACAAATACACTTTGATCTCATGTGCTTTATTCCATGTGTGACCTCTTAAAATTTGAAAATGAGCACATAATCTCTTTATGTGTGGCACGTGTTTCACATTTGTTGTTCTGTTGAACAGAATGTCTAATTGTACACTTTAAAACAGTTGATAGGCAAAATAAAATATATACTTTATAGTAATATTTGGATAGGTAAAATGCCTACTACCGTTGGAGATGCTCTTAGTTTACAAAACATAACAAAACTATGTGGTTACTTTTGAATGAGAGTGGGATAATTCGTATATGAACCAAATAACAAGGGACAAAGTGAAATCTTTTTCTAAAATAAATTACACTAACCTTTCTAAAGTTTTTATTTAATACAGGCTCTTCCTAAGGTTTAGGAAATGACATAGACCACCCAATGTTTTATTTGTTGGTTACATATTAACCTTTCCCTTGGTCACCCATTAAGCAAAATGTGTGTTATAGTGGGATGGCGAATCTGTTTGATACTAGATTTTAGAAAGGATGAACGCCAATATATTTTCTGAGTAATGATTGAGACTCCCACAAAAATTTCATCGCTATAACTCTCATATCATCCTACGTGAAACAGAAGGAAAAAAAAAAAAAACAAAAATACATTTGGACCGGTCATACACATTTAGGGATTATAAAGGTCCAAGCTTTTTTTCATATTTTCTAGAACATTGGGTGCTGCCACGGAGGTCAACTAGTTTACCTTCTTCTTCTTCTTCTTCTTCTTTTTTTTTTTGTAAATTTTTTTAACAATTAAATAATATTTATAATTTAATATATTATAGGAAATATTGGTGAGAAGTTGTATATGACAATAGGTGTAATCATTATTTTGTTTTGATGGTAAAAATATAATTAATGAAATTATTTGGTGAGAGAAATATTTTATTACAAAAATGGTAAAAATTCTAAACAAGTTATCAACTTTTTTACACAATACTTACATGGATATGGATCCACGTCACCTCACACATGTAAAATTGTAAAGAATATTTGATAATTTCTTATTACTCTTAGCATTGCTTTGGCCTTGGGCCCAATCAGATATCAAAACGGCATTCGGCTCAATCATATATCATATTATAAATAATTCACATTTCATATCCATATTTGGCCAGCATGTGGTTGGTGGTAGTGGTAATATGAACAAATAGGTATATTAGGTAGTTAAGCAGATGACATATGAACAAATAAGTGGATGACATATCGGCAAATATATGGATGATATGTGGGGTTGGGTGGTGCAAAATATTGTCCAATCTGCTAAAATCACACCAATCTGCACCGTTCTATCCGCTAATCACGAATAAAACTTTAAAATTTATAATCCGTCTTCGAAATCGCTCCGCTCCGCTATAATTAAAGTATGTATATTTTTTAATCTCTAAATTTCAAAGTAAAAATGAGTGTGCGAGATATTTAAGATGTAAAATTTATTGTAAATTAGTAGTTATATATATAAAAAATATTATGCAAATTACTGTTATATATTATGCAAATACTTGATAATTTATTCAGGCTATGTTTGGGATGTTGGTTTGAGACTATTTTAGCTACAAAAGACAAAATAGGTTAAAAAGCTAATAAGATAAAATGTTATATCCCAACCATAATCATTTCATTTTTTCTCTCATAAAAATCAAAAAAGCCAAAAAGTTCACCCAAAAATAGCCAAATAGCAAAAAATTAACTCATATCCTAAACGAAGGCTCAATCTGCTAATCTGCCCTAAACCACCCAAACCGCAATTTGTCAATTCTTCAATCTGCTATTTAATTTATAATTGTATTCTCAAATCACCCGAATCGCACCGCGTAAACCCATATATGTAGGTAGATAGGTAGTCAAATAGATGATATTGAACAAATAATTGAAGTGGTGGGTAGATAGACATATAGATAGAGGTAATATGATCTTTTAAGTTGCTATTGTCCTTATGATCTCAAAAGATTATAATTTGGGACTATTGCCTCAAAATTTTCAAATCTAAATTTATGATCCTAGTGCCCTATATAGTATTCAAAATAGTATTTCGTTTAATTTTTACAAAAATAGGAGCATAAATTGTGGATGAGTTCCTCTCAATACTAGGGGTGAATATGATCCGAATTGGTTTGGTTTGGGGTAAAATCAAAACCAATCTATTGTCTACAGTTCTAGAAATTAGACCCAATTCAATCCATTTAAATAATGGAACCAATTCAAACCAAATTATCTAAACACGGTTCGGTTCGATTTGAAACCACGGATTCACATAATCTAGTAATAAAGAAAAATCATATAATATTTTCATTTCAACATTAATTTACACAAAATTTTTCAAAACATAAACATATAAATTGTTCCACCATTAATTTAAATAAACATAATATTCAATTCCATAACAACAACAGCAGTAGCCATCAACAAATTTCTAAAAAAACTAAACCATGGTTCCACCATTACACCATTACAAAAACAAAACTAAAAAATAACACAATAATAGCAACAAAGTGGTTCCTGCACACGCAGAGAAGAAAATAAAATGAAATGTTACGAATTAGGGTTTTGGTTTTATATATAAGAGGTAAGATAGTATATATTAGGTTTGTATGGTATGAATATAGTTTAAGTTGCATACTGTAACGACCCCATTGTCACGACCCGAACCTGCCCCTAAAAGTTTAGGCCATGACTGGCCTGTACTTAGGCCTCAAAGACAAAGTTTCAAAATATTTAAATGACATCGGGGCTTAAAGCGGAAGCAAATCAAATAGTAATGTCCATTGAGCTTGTGCATACATAATGATTGAAATAATTAAAATAATGTAAACACACTAGTATACACATGTGTATATATCTCACACGCATATACATAAAACTTAAGTAAATACAAAATTCTAACAATACAAGGTTAGAGCCTCAACATAGAGGCGCATATTGGGTGGCTTGACTTAGCAGGTTAAAAAAAAAAACTCCTGAGGCTGACCTAAGGATGGTCTCTAAATTGATCACCTACATACAGATAAAATACGGAGTGAGCGAAGCTCAATGAGTAATAATAAAGTGAAGTAAATCAAGTAAATAATCTAGATTCAAAAGAAGCATAACACCATACTCTTCCACATCTACATCATTCACAACATTATTCATAATCATATTTACAAAATGGCCTCAGGCCCACCATATAACAAAACGGCCTCGGGCCCAATCGAATATCAAAACGGCTTCAGGCCCAATCGAATATCAAAACGGCATTGGGCCCAATCATATATCAAAACGGCCTTGGACTCAATCATATATCATATTATAAATAATTCACATTTCATATCCATATTCCATATCATAGGTCTTGTAACTCATTCATTCGTATAAAACATAATTCCAGAACATCGCAACATTTACATATTAAAATAAATATAAATGAACATATCTTTACAATATTATTACTCACAGTGATGGGCTTCCGGTAGTGGTTGGGCATTGTCCTCGTCTTGACCTACAATCACAATTACATAACACAACATATGAATATAACCGATACCTTTCTTTTCTCTTTAATCAATTAGTTATGTTCGTTCTAAACTCATTAGTCCTTAATAGGTTATAATCCGCGTCTAGAAAAATAGGAGAAAACGAAAGGAAACTGAGTTAGATGAAGAATTAGCATGAAACCGGTAGACCGAAAGTGAACAATCTTCAATAATTTGAGCATATCTATTTGTGTACTTATAATTTGAGAGTGAGACTATCACCATTGGAAACTAGACTTCCGAGGCTTGAATTAGGCTCAAGAATCACTTAAAACGGAGTCCGGATGAGAGAGATAAGCTTATTTGAAGTTGAGCTGAATCAAGGGAGTGCTGCACGTGCGGGAAATCCAGGGCATGTGCTTTTATTTCAGAATAAAAAATGTTGCTGGAAGAAGGCTTCTGCACTTGCGGGAAGCCCCGCCGCACGTGCGGCTCTGGGCAAAAACTGCTGTTCGAAAATACCGGTTGGTTCTAACACTTGCTCTTTTATTTTCTAAGCTAGGTTTCAACTTAAATCATTCAAAAACATGTAAAACTAATAGAAAATATGAGGTTGTGGTCCTTTTCTAAATCAAAACACCAAAAATACCATGAATCTTTAAGCAAGAAAGATCAAAATCCTTGTTTAGTTCTTTATCAAACTTTTCTAAAACTTCTTCTTCTAAATTCATATAGATCTTCATTTCACATAAAATTAACAATACAAAACCTCAAGATTAAGGCTCAACATCTGATAATCAACTTCAAGATAAGCATATGTAAGGAAATTAACTCTTAAATCAAGTAAATCTAAGGAATCAAGATTCAATTCCATGAAGAGAGCTCATTTAAGCTTGTACTTCAAAACCCTAACTCAATTATGTGTGTAATCTTCATCTTGAGTCATGAATTCAACAAATAATAGGTTAATCCCAAGAAGTTAAGTTGATTTCTACATATCTTGAGTCAATCTCTTGAATTTAACTTCAAGTCTTTCAATTTCCCATGCTTCTTTTTCAATTTCATCTTCAAATTCCATGGATGTTTTAGCTCTCTCTCTCTCTCTCTCCAGATTTTTTTTCTTTTCCTTTCTTTATTGAGTCTGTTTCCATAAGGCCCATATACTATTATATCTATACCTTATCTCATAAAACCTATAGCCAAAAGCTTACCTCAATGATAAGAGCCAAACATAACTTAACGAATCAGCCAAAATCAAAATTCAATTAAACATCACAGATGACTCTAAAAATTATGCTGAGCATAATTATGTGTTTTGTTCTGGTTTCTGAAGCCTCTAAGACCTTCAATTTGTAGTGCAAAGTTAACCACCCAAACATACCTTAACGAATCAAACAAAATAAATTTTCAATTAACTTTCCCAAATGGCTCTAAAAATTCCTATTAGCATATCCATGTATTCGATTTCGGTTTCTGAACTCATGAAGGTCGACAATTTTAGTTTTAAAGCTGTAACTCAAAGGATAATTCCTCAATTCAAACATATATCATCAAATTAAAGCACATTAACCCATAATTAAATAAAGATAATTTCTGATACACATTTTGGGGTCGTTACATTCTCCCCACCTTAAGATGTTTGGTCCTCCAAACTTGATTTACCCTGTTACAAGTCCAGTTCGTCTCAAATATATAACATCCCTCAATCATTTAACAGTTTACAGTCCTATGCTGTTAATCTCAATAAGGTTTGTTCCACGAATCACAATTAATTCGTCATTTACTGGCCAATTTGTAACCCAAGTGATAATAATACTCAGTGACATCAAAGCATCATCTTATTATTCATAACCCTCATACATTTTAATTTATTGATCCATAAGCCATATACCCCAAATGGTAAAACCTTAACCCCAAGGTGTTCATAATCTAATTCTCTTCAAATATTCGTTTTCATGCAACTCGTAAGCCATCAATCCCAATTAAAATTCTTTAGTTCCACAAGCAGTCCCAAATACTATACTTCTTTGAAGAATAAAGAAATATTCATTACTCAATTGTGCTCCCCTCCCCCCCTCCGGTTGGGCTTTTACGGAGCTTGGCCTACTTTTGCATTAACTCATCATTGGTGATTTGGTTCGTAGCAACCCAAGTATATCCAGGAGTTCCTTTTACACGCTACGCTATCCTCGGTGACGATATCGTCATCGGAGATGAGCGGGTGGCTGAGCGTTATCACGAGCTAATGTCGCAACTGAATGTTCCATTTTCGTTAGAGAAATCGTTAGTATCGTCAGTTGGTGCTTTGGAGTTTGCTAAGCGGTTCTTCGTACACATTCATTCTACAACAATTGAACCAAAATGAACAAAGGGGTTTTGAATCAATAACTTTAGGGATCTTTGCTCACTATTGATTTAAGTGTTCACAATATCTAGATACTTTAAAGCATCCCCAGCCTATTTACTTCCATACTGCATGGGATAAAAGAGGTCTAAACTGTCTACCAACCAAAGTTAAGTTCCAGTCCCATTGTTTCCACTCAATATAAATGTACTTATCGATTTCTTCTACCACAAAATTTCTTTTCGCAGTCCTTGTCAATTTCTTACTTACCTATCCTATTTAACAGTTCTTACCAATTGATTTTCTCATCACCGGAGTTTAACTCATTATCATCTATGTATAGATCGTTAATCTAAATTGATTTAGTCACCAAAAATGATCTTGTAATGTCATAATGATTCACAGAGTCAACATCATAGTAGTAAAACACAAAGCACATTGTCTATGAACTCATATATTTTTGTGTTATTGTCCACATTTTCCCAATTCATATGATTCCCAAGAATCACAGCTCAACTTTAATTGCAATCCGTGCTTACACTCTTTTGTTTTCCACAACCTCAAAGTAGGCTAACATCTAACATAACCTTAATATTAGATGCAAGCCTTGGTCTACAAATTTCTTCACTACATTAGTCCAAATAGTAGTTCCCGTACAGCTTATATGCCTTATTGATAAACCAATTAGGTGAGTCCGAAAGTCGAAAGTCACAAATAACTCACTTAGGCAACTTAATAACATTTCTCATCATTTATTTCAATATTTTACATAAACGCATTAAATCAAATCCATATAACATTTTCCATAAAATAGATCCTTCGAGTAATAAAGAAACTTTTAACATATACTATTAGCCTGATGATCAACTCATCCTACAACTAAATGAGTCAAATAAACGAATGGGTTCTAAACTAATATTTTGCTCACAATAGCTCAAACACATGTAATACTGATCTTAACACATCGAGGTGTCGTTAATTATCTTAGCATTTTAGCTCAAGTTTCAATTATTCACTCAAAAGAAATCTAAACTCTCCAACAGTCGTGCGAGCATACATAGGCATACTAATTCCAACGTAACACTTTGTATATTCATTAAATTTCTTGTCATTGACCTTTCGTACCATAACACTCCCTAACACATTCTTTGATTCATTCATTGAACTCACACTTAACTTCTTCTTTTGGTCTCATTGCTTCTCATGACATGTTTATATAGGTTTTGTCATACTCGTAAATCGTCCTTCTACTTTATCCAATTGCCTCAACAAGGACTCAACTTTCATTTCATCTATACGTCTGAACATCTTCTTCTAGGGTCACAAGCTACAGGCCAATGACATGTGGGGTATCATTTACTAACTACAATATAGCACATAGTATCATATTTAATCATGAAACATAGAATCACACAATCATACAAAGATATGGGTGGAACAACTTCTTCATTTCATGTCAAACCATTTCCTACCTCTCATTCACATAGTCCCATACTTGTTATCAATCATCACATCTCTCAATTGCCATAATTCCTTACACTTTATTAATGAACAATGGCCTTAGCTTCCTAAAATTTCTCATAATCTACTTCCGCATGTAACCCATATAGAAGCCAAGATTTAATCTCTTTCACATCATGTTCCTACAAACAGACTGATACGACCAATTTTAATATTCTCGTAACACCAATATTCCATATCTTTCACAACCTTAGCCTCAATCTCATACTCAACACATAACCCATTCTCAAAATTCTACATATGGAGTATTCCACATTACACAAGTCAAGTTTATAAGTCTAATAAGCTTCTAAGTTCAGTCTATACGTCCCCAAGTTTGATCAAATGTTCAATTTCCATTCTAATTACTACGTAACCATTGTGCTCGTAATCTATGTCAATTGTTTCATTTATGCTCATAGTCATATCAATAGGCATCATAATAACTTGCCAATTATAGTGCGAGGGCTATTCAACCCATTTTGCATACCCACAAAGTTAAACATAAAAGTTATCAATCAACAAAGGTTCAAGAGTATGCAATTCTAATACCATTTCGCATCAGTAATATCAAAGTGTCAAACATAAAATCAATTATCCTATTACCATCACATTTTATGCCGAGGAATATACGATTTTTATTTTCCAAATCGAATTTTCTCTTTTCTTTTATTTATTTATTTATTTTTTACACATAAACATTGCATATAGACAAGAGGTTAATCCTATGGGGCTAACCAATCTAATACACATATCACAGATATCCGTATCCAATAATATCCAAAGCAAGAATATACACATGCACTAGCTCAGAATCAATTAACACATAGGTATTCAGTTATGAACAACATAAATACCTAGAGAAACGAGTTCAGTGTTCTGAGTGTTTTCTAACACAAATGTAGTCACTCAATCCTGATTAGCAATCCAAGGACAATTCCTTACCATAGGATCCATTGCACCATACCTATAACAAGCCCCTCAGTGTTTCTTACCACATTCATCACATGGTGCTGTATTTCTTGTAGAGTTTGAAGTGCTTGATGATCCCACCTTTTGTCCTTTAAATGGTCATTTCCTTGTGACTTGCAACATATTCACTTGGTGCTCTTGTAATGATGGCCACAAAGATTCTTGTCATAATAGTAACTGATGTTGTTGTCTTAAAATTTCTACCATTTCGTGTATTATACCTTCCAGTCTATCAAGTTGGGCTATGGAAGAGTCCTCTAACTCATTTGCCCTTGTTCTTTTCATGATCTAGACAAACTTGTATCACATCATGCCAAGTACAAAAATAACCATAGCTATACATCTGTGTATTTGCACATAGCCACACATTTTACATATTGACAAAACATAATAAGCATATGCATAATAGATAATTGCATATTTAGCAAATATCATATGCTGATTACGTATGAGATAAGTGCACACCTAACCATATTTGTAGTCCACACATTCACCTGATTATGACATCAAAATGCATATACGCAACCAATTATAATTCGTAGGTTCATATACTTGCATTACAACAATAACAACACTTGCTTGTACACATTCACATGACGATTCATATCTCATATTTGCATAGACGATAAGACCAGAATCATACAAGTGGCTACATAACCTTCGTCTTCATACTGAAACAATAATCATACTTCTACACATGCCAATGCAATGTCCCTAAGTCTTTCTAGAACACCCTACAGCTCAAATGGACCTGTGTGTATGGAAGTAACTCGTGCTCTGATACCAAGTGTTATGACCCGAACCTGCCCCTAAAAGTTTAGGCCATGACTGGATTGTACTTAGGCCTCAAAGACAAAATTTCAAAATATTTAAATGACATCAAAGCCTAAAGTGGAAACAAATCAAATAGTAATGTCCATTGAGCTTGTGCATACATGACGACTGAAATAATTAAAACAATGTAAACACACTTGTATACACATGTATATATATATATATATATATCTCACACGCATATACATAAAACTTAAGTAAATACAAAATTCTAACAATACAAGGTTAGAGCCTCAACACAGAGGCGCATATTGGGTGGCTTCACTCAGCAGGTTCAAAAAAAAAAAACTCCTAAGGTTGACCTAAGGATGGTCTCCGGATTAATCACCTATATATAGATAAAAGACAGAGTGAGCGAAGCTCAATGAGTAAAATAAAGTGAAGTAAATCAAGTAAATAATCTAGATTCAAAAGAAGCATAACACCATACTCTTCCACATTTACATCGTTCACAACATTATTTATAATCATATTTACAAAACGGCCTCAAGCCCACCATATAACAAAACGGCCTCGGGCCCACATGTATCAAAATGGCCTCGGGCCCAATCGTCTATCAAAATGACCTCGGGCCCAATCATCTATCAAAACGGTCTCGGGCCCAATCGAATATCAAAACGGCCTCGGGCCCAATCATATATCAAAATGGCCTCGGGCCCAGTCATATATTAAAACAGCCTCGGGCCCAATCATATATCAAAACGGCATTGGACCCAATCATATATCATATTATAAATAATTCACATTTCATATCCATATTCCATATCATAGGACTTGTAACTCATTCATTCGTATAAAACATAATTCCAGAACATCGCAACATTTACATATTAAAATAAATATAAATGAACATATCTTTATAATATTATTACTCACAGTGATGGGCTTCTAGTAGTAGTTGGGCATTGTCCTCGTCTTGACCTACAATCACAATTACATGACACAACATATGAATATAACCGACACCTTTCTTTTCTCTTTAATCAATTAGTTATGTTTGTTCTAAACTCATTAGTCCTCAATAGGTCATAATTCGCGTCTAGAAAAATAGGAGGAAACAAAAGGAAACTGAGTTAGATGGAGAATTAGCATGAAACCGGTAGACATAAAGTGAACAATCTTCACTAATTTGAGCATATCTATTTGTGTACTTATAATTTGGCAGTGAGACTACCACCATTGGAAATTAGACTTCCGAGGCTTGAATTTAGGGTCAAGAATCACTTAAAATGAAGTCCAGATGAGAGAGATAAGCTTATTTGAAATTGAGCTAAATCAGGGGAGTGCCGCACGTGCGGGACCAAATCCGCACGTACGAGAAATCCAGGGCACGTGCGGGGGCACGTGCTTTTATTTCAGAATAAAAAATGTTCCTGGACGGAGGCTTCCGTACGTGTGGGAAGCCCCGCCGCACGTGCGGCTCTGGGCAAAAACTGTTGTCTGAAAATACCAGTTGGTTCTAACACTTGTTCTTTCATTTTCTAAGTTAGGTTTCAACTTAAATCATTCAAAAACATGTAAAACTAATAGAAAATATGAGGTTATGGTTCTTTTCTAAATCAAAACACCAAAAACACCATGAATCTTTAAGCAAGAAAGATCAAAATCCTTGTTTAGTTCTTTATCAAACTTTTCTAAAACTTCTTCTTCTAAACTCATGTAGATCTTCATTTCACATAAAATTAACGATACAAAATCTCAAGATTAAGGCTCAACATCTCATAATCAACTTCAAGATAAGCATATGTAAGGAAATTGACTTTTAAATCAAGTAAATCTAAGGAATCAAGATTCAATTCCATGAAGAGAGCTCATTTAAGCTTGTACTTCAAAACCCTAACTCAATTAGGTGCGTAATATTTATCTTGAGTCATGAATTCAACAAATAATAGGTTAATCCCAAGAAGTTAAGTTGATTTCTACATACCTTGAGTCAATCTCTTGAATTCAACTCCAAGTCTTTCAATTTCCCATGCTTCTTCTTCAATTTCATCTTCAAATTCCATGGATGTTTTAGCTCTCTCTCTCTCTCTAGATTTTTTTTCTTTTCCTTTCTTTGTTGAGTCTTTCTCCACAAGGCCCATATACTATTATATCTATACCCTGTCTCATAAAACCTATAGCCAAAAGCTTACCTCAATGATTAGAGCCAAACATGACTTAATGAATCAGCCAAAATCAAATTTCAATTAAACATCACAGATGACTCTAAAAATTATGCTGATTATAATTATGTATTCCGTTCTGGTTTCTGAAGCCTTTAAGACCTTCAATTTGCAGTGCAAAGTTAACCACCCAAAACATACCTTAACAAATTAGACAAAATAAATTTTCAATTAACTTTCCTATTAGCATATCCATGTATTCGATTTCAGTTTTTGAACTCATGAAGGTCGACAATTTCAGTTTTAAAGCCGTAACTCAACGGATAATTCCTCAATTCAAACAGATATCATCAAATTAAAGCACATTAACCCATAATTAAATAAAGATAATTTCTGATACGCATTTTGGGGTCGTTACACCCACCATGTATAATAATTAGCATTTAATTAATTTAAAAAATTTGAATTTGAATTGTTCATTATTCTGGTTCAATTTGAGATTTATGAGGATTATTTGGTCTAATTCATATACGATTTGATTAAGGATTTATGTTGGAATTAGAAATTGAAAATCTAAATGGCTTAAGAAGGTGAAATTGATGAGTTGAATTGGTTCAATTTCGAGTATTAGACCATATATGGGAGTTTAAATAAATATTTGATTAAGTTTAGTAAAATTAAGATTTGATCAATTGGATCCGAATTGGAATTAGTTAAGTCATGAGGATTGGGATGAATTTAATTTACTTATGAGGTATCCAATTTGACTATGTAATTTATTGACAAAAAATTTGAGTCTGATCAGAAAATAATTTGAGAAACTAAAAATTGATGATGGAAATAAGTTTAATTTGATATTTGGAACCTTTTAGTAGTCTGACTAAAAATCTGATTCAGATTAGTAAAATTAAATAAATTGGGCCTTAATGCAAATCACATTAGATTGATTAAATTACGTGAGATTTGTGATTAGTTATGATTAATTAATTATGTGTTAATCAAGATTTATTAAGACTAAGGCTTCGTTTGTCAACTATACATTGTAGTCAAAAAGTCACATAAGTTGTCACACCACTCTCTGCTTTTCTGTACTTTTTTTGTAAAAAGTCAAAAAATTATTAAAATAGTATGTTTCTAAACGAGGCTTTAAGTGTTAATTAAATTAATCCTAAGAATAAATTGAATTATGGAAGAATCTAGAATTGAAAGTATAAATGGATGTGGGTGTATTGAGCAATTCTGTGTGTGTGAGCTCATAGGAGTTGTGCACATGTGTGTTGTGCTGTCATGAAGTTAGTGAGTGTGTATATTTGTGTACGAGCAATGGTAGAGGGCCCAAATTCTGTGGCTCAAATGTGGCTCAAATGGCCAAAACGACGTCGTTTTGAGTACAAAACAACATCAAAATGGCCAAAACGACGTCGTTTTGGCTATTTGAGCCACATTTGAGCCACAGAATTAGGGCCCCCAAACATTTTTCATTTGTGTACATTGTGCTGAGAGTGTATATCATTTGGGGAGAGACTTTCCAAGTCAAGAAAGGAATTTGATATGTATTGACATCTTGGAAACCATTCATTACCTCATTCGGCTGGAGTAAACCGAGAGAGAGAGAGACCGTCTCATTTTTGTTGAGAGTTTCAATATCTTAAATTAAGATTTTTAATTTTTTTATTTAAATTTTTTTTTATAGCTCTCATTCAAGCAATAAACATATATATATATATATATATATATTTAATACCTCTAAATTTATGACTTTTAAATAGAAAGTATATCAAATATATAAAATAAAAAACAAAAAGTATACTAATTCATTTTAAAATTTAAATTTGAGGGGCATTAAATATGGAAAACATTCCATTAAATTAAATTTAAAATTGTAATGATTTATCCCATAATATAAAGTTTTAAATAATGATTTATCTATATATCTATATACTATTATAATTGCAAAATATTGTTCTTTCATTAAGGTTGAAAGTTATAATTCTTTTTTCTCATTTTTTTTTTATTTTGTTTAATTTTTTGTTAATACGTGTTACAATATGATTGGGAAGTGCCATATTAACTCACTTTTTTTTTCTTTTTCCTTTTATCTTTTTTGGGTCACATCACATCTCTACTTTTCTATATATCTTTTTGTAAAAAATAAAAAAGTGTATTTAAATTTTTTTCGGGGACAAAATTCTTTAAGGGAGGGAGGTTATAGCGATCCCAGGTTTTTCCCTTTTTGTACTGTATTCTGGACTTGGGTTCCTTGGTTGAGTATTGTTGTAAATGTCTCTTTCCGTCCTTTAATTCCTTGTATTTAAGTTTTAGGATGTATTGGGCAAGTTTGAAACAGATTGGGTGTGTTTTGAAACAAATGGTTGCTGTTCAGTTTTTGGTCTCTTCGTTCGAGCGAGGACTTTGTTGCTCGAGTGAACCTTATGTTTTTGCTTCTTTGCTCGAGCGAGGGTTTGTACGCTCGAGCGAGTGTTATGGGTCTTCAGGTCTTTTTCAGACGCAGCTTTGGCTCGAGCGAGCTTTTCTTCGCTCGAGCGAGGTTGGTCTGGTGTGTCTCTTCGCTCGAGCGTGCGTCTACGTCTAGTTTGGACCTGAAGGTTGTCTTTCTTTGCTCGATTGAGATTTCCTTCGCTCGAGCGACCGAGGGCTATGTTTTGGGCTTATTCGCTTGAGCGAACTTTCCTTCGCTCGAGCGTGCTTTTGGGTTGTAGACCTGAAGCTTCGTAGTGTTCGCTCGAGTGACGCTTCTTGCGCTCAAGCGAGGTTTCTTTGTGTCTGGTCGCTCGAGCGACCACTCCTTCGCTCGAGTGAGCCTCGAGTATATCAGATTGCAACAACAGGTTTTTACACATTTTTTCACTTCATTCTTCCTTCAAACCCTAGATTCGGCACACTCTCTCTCTACATACACCTTCTCTCTACGCATACACTTGGATCTAGGGGTTTGTTACCTTAGTCTCTTTGTAAAAAGGGTAGAGCTTCGCGTGGTCTACATTTTGATCCGAAAATCCTTGGATTTGGAGCAACTTGAGTTTCCTCCTTCATCTCCTTTGAGTCTCTCTATTTGAGGTAGGGATAACTACTCATTTTTATGAGTTTTGACATAAACTTTAGGCATTTTGATTAAATGGTGGAATTATAAGAATTTTGGAAAGCTAGGGTTTGAGATTTGAAATGTTAGAAAGAGGGGTTTTGTAATTTTGACCTCTATGTGCCTATGAGTCCTTGAAAGTGAGATTACTGGTGTATAATGGGTAAAATGTGGACTTGGAAACAATATTTGAGAATAAGGGAAAAGTGCCCTAATTTAATGTAATTGATTAATTTGTATAATTAATTTAGTAATTGTGGGAATATGGAATTGATTTGAAAATCATGAAATTGGATGGAATTGAGATTGAATGGTGTAGTTGGATTGATTAATCACTCACCTTGGAAATTGTTGAAAGTTTACCTGTTTGATAAATTTATTATCTGTTTAGAAATAATTGTTTTGGGCTATCGGTGGAGGATAGTCACGATTGTTGTAGACACTGTATGATGATTAGGTAAACTGAAACTAATCACCTGGAATATGTCATTGAATATGACGGTTGAGACAAAACATTGTATATGTGCATTAAATGATCATTTTATATGATATTTGTTTAAATACATTGCATATGTATCTTGTATGGGAGGAGATATAGGATGTACTTCATGGGTTGAGAGGAGATAGGGAATGTACTCCACTATTTGGAAGGAGATAGGGGATGGACTCCATTGATAATTGAGCTGTAATCTCATTTTGAATTATTGATAATTAAAGTGTTAATAACATGAGTTATACTATCATTTTGAATTGTGGATAATGGAAGAGTTGATGATATGAGCTGTAGTCTCACTTAAATTGTTTGGTTAGTTAATGAACCATGCTCTAGAATTGAATTGGATAAAAAAAAAGAAAGGGGGAAGTGGATTGAAACATGGATATAAATGTTGATTGGTATGGAAGTGAGGTACATTGGTTTATCTGTGTTAACCATTTGGTAAATGCTAATGTTTTAGTTATCGTTCATATTATATTTAGCATATCTCTACTGGGCTTTGGCTCACCCTATATGGGACATCATTTTCAGGTATAGGAGACATGCCGCCTCCAAGGACTTAGCTCGGGTGGTTTAGAGGCTGCAGGCTTCTTTTTGTTGTATCATTGATTCTATATTACATGTAATTCAAGCCAAGGGCTATATATGTAAATAGTTAGAACTCTTTTTTGGTTGTAACCAAGTGTTAATTTGGAAAGTTGTAAGCTCGTAGATCATTTACTTTTATTGTCAACATGTAATACCTTTTGTAAAGAATACTCTGATATATGAATATATGATATTTCATTTATGTTTATGGATCTGTTGTTTGATGGGTTTATGCATATTTTTGACGGCGTTACATTTTGGATCACATTACATCTTTACTTTTTGTACATATTTTCATAAATAGTAAAAAAAATATACTTATTTGGCACTTCCCAAACTACCACTACGTTGATATTAAAAAAAATTACTTTTTATAATGGCATAAATAATTCAAATATGATTTTTTAGAAATTATTTTTAATTTAAAAATTACAATAAAATATTAAATAGAATAAAAATAAATTTCTTACAAAATAAAAATATTTGAATTAAAAAAGGTAAGAAGAAAATTTAATATGGTATTTTCAGTTAATCAGAAAATAATTTTAGATGAATAATAAATTATCACCTATAATCCTCTTTTTTTAAATAAAAAAAGTTTAACGAACTATCATTTTTAATAAAAAAAAAAATAACATTTATTTGTAATTTATTTTACCAAAAGTAACTTTTTAACAATTTGAGCCAAAGATATCTTTATTCTTTGTTTTAATTTCTTTAATTGACAATTGAGACTAAAAAAAATCTAACAAAATCCACCATGTTTGGTAAGTATTAAAAAAGTTATGTTTTGT